ACAGTTCTCATTTTGTTTTTTTTTGTTTGCGGTACATCGTTGTATTCGTATTAAAAAGGCTACCTACTCAGTATAAAATAAAGTTGATGATGATTTATTAGAAACCAACATGTTAGAGATTCAACTTATAAAAAAAAGGACGAAGCGGCAGTGGCAGCGGCACCGCTGCATTTAGGTACAAGAAGATCATCATGAGAGTAACTGTAAATTTAAATATTATGAATCGGTCGCCTACCTCAATCAGTAAAATACACAAAACTAATCGATAAACGGGAATAAGTTTTTTTTTCTTCTTTATGAGGAAAACAGGAAAGACAGCATAGATGAATGTCAGTTTTCTGTGATAATTTCTTTGACTATGTAATTTTTTAATTACTCCTAAATAAATTTCTGACTTCCAAGCAGTGCACTGTAAAAATCCCATAATTATAGTACACACCTAGACCAAGCACAAAATACATTGGGAAAACTGTCAGGTGGTCGTAATGTTTAAATAAATTCCACGTATCGATATATCAACAGCAATTAACTAATTAGAGTTAGAACATGGTCAATGTGAAAAAAACCGGCTGTCCAATCTGGAAATTTATTGTTATATTGCACTTTGATTATTCAGTTTGTTTGGAGTTCGTCTAGAATTAAAACATCCTGTAGAACTTGACTTTTGTTAAAAGAAGAAACACTCATGAGGCAAGGCGTGTTTCAGTAAATTAAAAAAAAATGTTAATTTCTAGCCTTTCATTCAATTATTTTTAAATTAGAGGTTGATGAATGTATACAGGGTGAACCAATTTACAAGGGACACTTCAGGAGTCCCTTCCGCAATTTTAAATAAACGAGTATCGGATACAATATAATGTTAATGAATCACTATTTTAAATAGTTCAACGGGCGATCTCTAGCTACGCCGAGTGAGCCGAAGTATTTCGGTATTTCGTGACCGGAGTCCATAAACCGATCCCGAATTCCGGATACCGATCCCGAATTCCGGCTCGTCACTTCCATTTTGTTCCACATTTCTCGAAACTGAATAAAATTGCTAACGAATAGCTCCATCTCCATCTCTCACATTTAACTATTCCGCAAGCTATTCGCACGATTGTATAATTGTGAAATTGGTTCTCACAATCTGTTGAAAATCCTTGTGGTTAACGACCTTCAGTCTTCCAGAGCATGCTTTAATGGGCAAGTTAGAATTCCCGAAAACAATTTCTCGAACCATTTCTATGCATTACGATTACGGACGAGAATAAGTACATAGCGATCAAAAATGAGTGACCGTCAAATCACCTTTGGAATGTTTGTTTACATGGGAGTCTTTTCCTCCCTAAATACACACTATACTTCAACAGACCTACAGACGGAAGAAAGTGGCAGAATAAAAATGAGCATAATTATAGAAGAGCGTGTGTACCCATACTACAAATTTTCTCCCTGAACGTTATCGACACACGAACTATAATCGAGTTTAATTTAAGGGCGACTAAATGTGTTAACAGTTAACCCATATGAAGCAACAGCGTATATCAAAAATTGCCCGACGATAATTCTATACAGGGTGATTCCTATAGTACCTGCCACCGTTTGGGAGCGTATAGGGGGTGCCTAGGGGAAGTCTTTTCATATAGGACACTTGGGGTCGGAAATCCAAAATAAGGGCGCCAGAACCAAATTTATCTTCTGGAATTTCACGCCTGTATGTAGGCAACCCAACCGACCGACGTTTCGCGCGGAGCGATGCAGAGCGAGTTAGCGCGAGGAAGCGACATGGGAGGGAAGGAGGGAAAACGACAGTCAAAAGCAATAACGTTTACAAGTGTTCAACGTGGCCACCGTTGTTCTCAATGCACTTCCTACATCTAGCCAACCACTCCCCTCGAACTCGCGTGAAGACTCCTATGTCCTGGCGAACAGCCTCTCCGGCCATGACGACGCGCGCAATTAAGTCCTCTTCGGATTCGACGGGAGTCTCGTAGACGTGCGCTTCCATCACACCCCACAAGTAAAAATCTAATGGGGTGATGTCGGGCGAGCGGGCAGGCCACTCCACCGCACCTCCACGGCCGATCCATCTGTCCGGATAGGTTTGATCCAAGTGTTCCCTCACCTGCCGCCCGTAGTGAGCAGGGCACCCATCGTGCTGGAACCAGTGGTCCCAGTACAAGTTCACTGGAACATCCATTAAAAGTTCTGGTAGCACCTCGCGCAGGAAATTATGGGCATTTAGACGCGGAGGGAGGATGTAAGGCCCCAGTAGGTTGTCCCCCAGGATGCCAGCCCAAACGTTTAAAGAAAACTTGTCCTGGTATCCTCGCGTAAACGTTTCATGAGGATTGTGCTCCGCCCAGTAGTGGCTGTTACGAGGATTGAAGGTCCCCTCTCTTGAGAATCCTTTCTCGTCAGTAACTAGCACGCTCCTCAGAAAGTTCGGATTAGCTTCTTCCTCCTGGACGACTAAGTTGCAGAATTCCAGCCTCCTTTCATGGTCACCCGGCCGTAACTCTTGCACTTTCTTAAACTTATAGGGGTGTAAGTTGTTGTTGTTGGCGATGTTCCACACTGTGTGTTGACTACAACCCACCTGATCTGCTACAAGTCGAGTGCTAGTACGCGGGTTTGCCTCGAAACGTTCCAACACATCCTCCTCTAAGGCATTTACCAACGGGCGATCGCGATCACGGGCGCTAGTGGGCTGCGAAATAGGAGGAGGTCGGTGTAAACAAACAAACTTTTCGAAATGGGTGCTTAAATGACCCAAGTATCGATGTGCATCACGAATCTGTGTGTAAAGTTAAGCCTCCGTCAGCTTACCTGCAATTGCCCTGTCTCGCACAGTCGGAAGTGAACTTCTTGAAAGACCTGTCTGCAGGGTAACTGACGGTTTGGATACCGCTCAGCGTACGCTCGTCGTGCAGCTCGTGCGTTACCATTTGCCAATCCGTACATGAAGTGCATGTCCGCGTATTCCGTGTTAGTAAAACGTGCCATAGTGTTTATTCACTTGATACGCGTCGTTGCAGACGGGATTTCGTGGGTTTAAACAAAATTCTGATCAAGTGTCAGCCACACATCGCCGCCTGAGATCGCTCCGTGTGCACCGCCGGCCGGTTGGGTTGCCTACCTACAGGCGCGAAATTCCAGAAGGTAAATTTGGCTCTGGCACCCTTATTTTAGATTTCCGACCCCAAGTGTCCTATATCAAAATACTCCCCTACGCACCACCTACACGCTCCCAAGCGGTGGCAGGTACTATAGGAATCACCCTGTATATTCATCCACATATTTCAAATCTAATTCTCTCTTTTGATAGGTGTCTCGTGTCTATTTGCCGCTACGTACGAATTCGCCGGCGTAAATTCCCCATTTCCCTTCATCTTTGGTAATCCCGCACGACCCGAATCTTCCGGGCACGAGAGTAACGGGAATTGTTGATTGGTCATGTGAGTTCAATGACAAAATTCACGTTCAACAACAAAGAACTTAAACGAAACTGGAGCATGAAAACGATACGGGTGAAAGTTCTTTGTTTCGGGAATTTCGCAATCTTGCATGTAGGCCGAGTTTTACTGCCTCTTCAACTGACTAATTAAGTAGAGAAGTACAAAAGAAACTAAACGCAATTGCGTATTCACCACCGTAGAATGTTGACCCATTGGAAATTCATGAACTTCTTATGGAACGCAGTTGGTTATAAAAGGAATAATAGATTTGCGGTTTAAAAATCCAACATTTCTGAGTTAAGGATCTTCTTACAAAAGGTACTTCGTAGAAACATGAAGTGGATGTGGGAATATAAACTTAATTGCCCTGGTAGGTATATTAAACTAGAACGGCGAGGATAATTAAAACGTAATTAAAATTCATTATCGGTGGGATAAGAAATGAATGTGAAGCGAATTTCGTTGTATACCCGCGTGCAGGAAATTCCACCATTCAATTGTAAGAAGCAAGTGCTATACCTATACATATATTTTTTTCTTATCTAGCAGTTGATCTTTTTGGAGCAAGGAACTTTAGGGCCAAAGTAGTGATAGTATATTATATACCACGGGACTCCTGTAATCCGATTGTCTGCACCTTGGAATTAAAGTCCGCTTAACATGGAAGCAATAAATGCACTGATTACTTATTTTTATTATTCCTATTTTTTTGTAATTTTCATGTATAAAACGAAATCCATCGGCAAGCTTTTAAGGCGAATCATTGAGTAGTGTACGCCCTTTTTTTTAAATCGCGTAAAATTTCATTGTTTGAACCGGGGGCCGTATAACGCCAGTATATAAAAGAATCGATACACGTGCAACCGAAGATTGGCCCCCATTTTTGACGAATTTATTGTCGTGGGTACTTTATACATTCAGCAACAAGAAAACTTCGTCGTGTAGCGAAAAGCTAATAAACCGCGGATTTATGTTTAATTTAAAATACAGTGCGAATAAGTTACTTTCTTTCTTTAAGGGTCCTCTATAGAGGGGTTAGGCAACCCATCATGCTTTTACAAACTTTCGACCCTCATAACGTCATCAGGGTTGAAGTCTACAAATTTCTAGAACCTGGATATTAATGTACACGGTGCGGCGAAAATTTTGCCGGATCGTTTTTTACGTTTTTTATGTAATTAACGGATCTAGCGAACCAATGAAGTTATCAAAAAAATCTTTCCGACAATAAGTTCGAATTAAGCGTTAGAATTGCTACATATTGAGCAATTCTTTTCAACTTTTTTATTAATTGCGTTATGAGGAGTAAAAGTTTGATGAAATCTGCATAAAAATCCGAAATGACACATTGCCTTCAGGCTAAAAGTTGAAATGTGTAAGAGGGATTAGGGAATTCCCAAAGTATTACAAGAGGTAAATGGAATGCTAATTAGTTGCACCTACTCACTTACCTGAAAATTGTATTGTATTGCAGAAAAATAATGGTATCATTAGACACATTGTATTATTTAATCACTAATAAGCAGCTAAATTAAAACACCTAGTAATTATTACCTTCAATTAAAATTGTATATGTTTTATTAAAATGACAACAATGACAATAAAAAAAGCTATTAGATTTTGCTATAAATATCTCGCAATTGAAGTTGGCGGCATCTCCTAGGATCGATAATTTCTGGCAGTAACGAATTAAAATAAAAGTCGGCCAATTTTTCTTTCATCTTCGTTTCCCAAAAATCGTCATCGCTACAAAATAATTTTATTGTTTTTGTTTGAAAATTAGAACTTAGCTTACCGTTCAATGGTTTCCACATGTAATCCTCCTAATGTATATATTATAAAATAACACAGTTGTTTTTTACAAATATGCAATGCGCCTTGTATTTGGTAATAGTAATTATGACTTCGTTTGAGTGTAAGTTTGCCATTTTCAATTACACAAAAATCAATTTTTTTTTGTTTTGCGCCTTCCAATGGAGATAAGGGCCCACTTTTTGGTGAACATTTGATTTCTATTATACAATTGTTACCCACTAATCCATCCGGGGAGCAAGCCAAATATGGTAATTCATCATCAATTACCAAACCACTTTGCGTTACACTGACGTTATGAGCATTTTGAAATAATTTAATTGCCGTTTCTTCATTTTCCAAACCAAATGTTGTACTACTGTTACCGGCAAATGTAGTGTAAAGCAACTGTGAAACTAGCTTAGCGGTGGAAGTTGTTTTGCGTAGTTTACAAACTCTGCCAAAATTTGAAGCGGTAATTCGTTTTTTGCGCTCTTGATACCAAAGGTTGGACTTTGATTGCGATGCCGTTTCCATACAAATCTTTTTCTTGTCCGCACATCGTAAAACTTCTAGGAACTCTTGACGTTTTTTTTTTATACAATTCTGAGTCCATGTCCTCCTCTGGTTGGTTTGCGCTAGGCCCATAATGACTGTCTGCTGTAGCAAAATGTTTTCTTTTCGGTGCTTTTTCTAGAAAAATATTACTCCTAATTAAAATGAAATTAATGAAATAATACCAACTTACTTCTATTTACATGTACCCTTCGCATCTTCCGCTCGTGAAATATACGGGTATAATGATCAATAGTACCACACATTCTTTCTTGAACTTTTGCAAGAAAACCACCACCAGTGTTGTATGAAATCGAAGCCGCCTCACATCTAGTCTGGTAAGAGTTTTTTAAGGAATAATTGATCCGCTTCCCACCGACAAATTTGGCAACGACGGAATTGTAGCTTTCGGCTGCATTTGTGTCTACATCTTGTAACAAACTAGCAGCATTATTTGCTAGTCTACGATTTGCAGTGACAATTGGTTCAAAAATACCAGACAATTTTAATGTAGGTACTAAATTTTCCTAAACAGATACAAATAACGTAAAATTATTCTGTGCAACAATGCGTCAATATCATTACCTGATCTTTATTTCCACAACAGAAGTAACCGTCGCAATTAGAGTGGTCCCCAAATATATGATTTGGCCCATTTTCAATATCTTTTTTTAAAAGAGCGACTTTTGTATTTTCAGCATCAGGACCCTGTTTTCTAAAGGCAATAGCTTTCGTTATCGCGTTTCGGAAGCGACCCAAAACATCTGTATTAGTTACTATTCTCCTGAGATGAATGGGGAATTTGGTATCTTTGGACAATTCTGAAATTTTATTTATGTAATTCCTAATGAGGTGATTTCGGCATTCAATTTTCTCTACAACAAAAGTTGGTCCATATGGGGATACCTCAACAACTTTTTTATATACAGTGCTGTCCCCATCCCCAATAATTTTGCCATAGATCAAATTATGACTTTTAATAGATGATTGAAACCCTTCGGCGATTATTTCAGCTTCCATTGCCGTGGAACTTCTATCCCAATTTTTGAAACAAGAATGTTCTACTGGAGTACTTGCCCTAGTACAGACGAAACAGTATTTATTTTTAACCCCCATGTAAAGAATTTTCTTAGTTTTCGCTCCAATTATACAGGCCTAGAAAGAAGCAAATATAATGTTTTCAGTAACATAGAAAAAAGTACTTACAACTCCAGATAAAGCATTGTAGTTTGTACGATAGGAACGTTTACTCCATGCGCCATCCACAATCACTGGAATTATAGGAACACCTTGTTCAGATACGTGGCCAGATTCAACAGCCAACCTTCTTTCCTCTTGGGCAGCGGTATTCATTAGTTTAATGTTTTCGTCGTGTATATTTTTACTCAAATTAGAGTGATAGCGTAAATATGTTGCATTGGACATATTTGGAATGTTTAAACATGATACAAACTCGTTTATTTGAGAATATCCAACCCCAATTGATATTGCTCCAGCGACAACGGCACAATTTGTTGGAAAATCCTTCTTATTCGGATTTTCTGTATTAACAATTTGGACAATATTACAAACGTTGCATTTAAATGATATTTTACTTTGAAATCCTTCAATTTTTTCGGATAAAACCTCCATATCAAAAAAAGAACAGTCAAACCCTAAAACAGAAATACATATTAGCATTATATCTCTATTAATTTTAGTTTTAAATGTACTTACCTTTGTGTTTCAAAGATCTTAATTCGTCCAGAAAATATTTTATTTCAATTATGCGCCGCCCTACTAAGCAATTACTTTTTTTTGGTTTGATAACATCCAGATCTGTCTCAATGGAGATATCAGTGCCGTCACTAGAATCGCCGCTAATGGTAGTAATTACTTCCTCGTCATCTTTGTTGAAATTGTGAAATGGATCAGTTGCATTGACAAAGTTGCTATCTATATTGTCATAACTACAGGACGCTATTGGTTCAGGTTCAAGTTCAAGGACTAGTTCGTCCAACTCCGTATCAGAATCACTATTATAACAACTAAGAGGGATCTATCACAACGAAGTAGTTTCTAAGGAGACTGAGGGGTACATATTATGGAATACAGGTGGGTATGTCTTACTGCATTCGCTAATGCATCGAAAAGCTACGGATCGGAGCGATTGAATATTTAACTTTTACACAGAGCCGGCTTGTGTTTGGTAAAAGAATACCCATTTTTACAATACAATTCTTATCACTAATTATACCCACATTAATAGCTACAACGGGCCGGCAACTTTAAAGGAATAATAGCCGTGAAATAGGATATGATACTTTCCAGCTGAATCTTATCTTATTCAACGATTATTTTATTTCATTTATTGGTATACAAATGCAATATGCACGCCTTTTGCACATTTTAGTCTATAATAGGTATACGTCTGATAGTAGGTATTGTTTTAGCGTTTAGCGTCTTTAGACAGCGTTTTCATTTGTATTACCTATATTTCGGATTTTAAAGTGTTTGTGAGTGCTTTGGTACCTATCGACCACAATGAGTGACGATAAACATTATAGACGAGGGAATAAAAGTCATTTACGATTATCCGCTTACAGAAAAAAGAAGAAAACGTTCCCCTTGAAAAAGATGGCAAGTACCTTCTTAAAGACATTAAACACAATAGTTTTATTCAATGACCATTGTAACACTAGTATATTTTGATTTAGAATGGCGACCCTGTTTCTTCTGATGATCCGTCATGTTCCCACTTCGGTCCCCACATAATTGTGGAGAACAACAAATTAGTAAGTAGTGGGAGTATTGTTTAGTTCTGAAACCAAATTCTGTTTTTTAGAATGACAATTTAACATTTCCGACCAATTCAGGTGCTCCTTCCTGTAGTCAATCTTGTTTGAAAAACGATCTAGTAAGTTTCATTAAACTACAAAACAAAATTTCAAATTACCTAAAATAGAAGCTTTATGTTCCCATAATGTTAATTATTGGCAATAAATTAACACCATGGGAACCAAGGATTTTTTTGAGTTTTTTTAACTTTCAGGTTGATAATTTGGGAAATACATCTGTAACTTCCCAAAATATAGAAATTTTTGAGGGACGGCGCATTGTTGATATAAAGTCTTTCCTAACATCAATCATGAAACTTGGAGCACATGGAAAACGGTTTGGCTGCTCTTTAGAAAACATATTATTTGTAAAAGAGGAACTGCACGGTTTAGCTTCATTGTTGCACATGAAATGTTCAATGTGTAACGAAACATTTAAGATCCACACATCGGATGATACTGTTAATAAAGACGCGGTACTCGCAATGATGAGTATAGGTTCTGGATTTTGTCATTTGGAACAAGTGACATCATCGCTGGATATACCGTGTATGTCGGCGCGGATGTATGATAGCGTTCACGATGAAGTGTCTGACGCTTGTGACATAGCTAGTCTTAAAGCAATGAGGGAAGCCGCCGAAGAAGAAAAGGAAATCGCCTTACGCAATAAAAATGTTGACAAAAACGGAATTCCGTTAATCACTGTTGTCGCTGATGGTACTTGGTCCAAAAGGTCGTACCACACCAATTTTAATTCTCTGTCAGGGGCAGCCGCAATCATTGGATTTCAAACGAAGAAAGTGCTTTTTTTAGGCGTTAGAAATAAATTCTGCACTATCTGTAAAATATCCGAAACAGCTGGCAACACCCCCAATGCTCACAAATGTTATAAAAACTGGAGTGGTTCATCTGCCGCTATGGAGGCGGACATAGTTGCAGAAGGATTTTCCAGAAGCCTAGAAATGTACGGCCTAATTTATAACAAGTTAATTGCTGATGGCGATAGCAGTTGCTACAAGAAAATTTTAGATACTCACCCCTATGAAACAACTGTAGTCGAAAAGATAGAGTGCAAGAACCATCTTTTAAGGAATTTTTCAAAAAAAATACGCGAGCTTATCAAAGACACGTTGGCAGGTCCATTAATTCTACGTAAAAAAATTAAGGTAGGTACATACGCAGATGAGACAGGATTGAACAAAAAATATACAGTACGAATAACTGTACCCTATTATAAAATTGATAGATTTTTGACTAATTTTTTTACTAATTTTGCTAAAATGGCTCTGTATATTTTTTATTTTAATTACCTACTTTCAAATCATCATTCGATTTTGAATGTTCATCAATAAAAGACATTATTTACAGCAAAATCAACTACGACTTCGGTGGGCAGTTTGCAAGGCCATATCGTTCCGTAAAACCGAAGTGAATCCGTTTAACGAGAAAGTGGGTAACTTGAAGAAAGATATACGAAATTGTATATCTCACGTATTTGGCGAACATAAGGATTGTGAAAATTTGCAGTACTTTTGCAAGGAGTCTTATATACCCAATGGAAGTACAGTGTCTGATTTGAAACAAACAGGTACCTATACATGTTCTTCCATGTCGTTGTTAATTATATTCTCTAAAGCAGTGTTTCTCAAACTTTTTTGTCTGGCAAAATTCGCGGCACCCCTATTATTATTTTTTGCTTTTTTACAGGTACTAAAGATATAAAGAATAAAAAATCTTTGAAAAAAAATATTTTTTTAAAATAAGTTTACTTCTAAACAATACAAAAACGTTTAAAACAGAACATTTATTATAAGGAATCAAGGAAACTGCTGATAAAATGAACTGGGCCTGGCGGTGACGCGCACCTGCTTTGAGAACCACTGCTTTAAAGTCTCTATAAATATGAAATGAGAAAACATTTTCTATTCCAGATTTATACGATAAGTTGGAATCGTTTACAAACGTTTTGGTTCGACATGCTTCAAGCCTAATTTACGATGTTGACAACAATACTGTTGAACAGTTTAATTCTATAATCGCCAAATATATTGGTGGAAAAAGAATCAATTACAGTAAAAAACGATCATATCAAAGCAGATGTGCTGCGGCTGTTATATCCCACAACACAAAGCGACCGATTTATACAATAAAAAAATATTTGGATGGTGGGAGGCAGCCCGGAAAATATGCAGTACGGTCTGAATTGATCAAAATTAGGCGAAACGAACGTAGAAGACCAAAACCGAAGAAAAAAAAGCAAAAAGAAAATCGAACTGAGGGTCATCTCAATAAACACTATGGAGACAACTGTGAAAAACCAGATATGAACCGTGAAGAATATAATTCTGCAAAGGACGCTTATTTGAAAAATTTAAAAAAAACGCAGACTGAAATTCGCGACATAGAACGTGCAACGCAAACGCAGGAGTGCAATTTATGGTACTTAGAAAGACGAAAAAGACTGACAGCGTCTAAATTCGGCGACGTATGCCGCAGGCGGGATTACACTTCTTGCAGAGTACAAGTAAACTCTATCATTTATCCCCAACAGTTTTTTAGTAACGCTTGCGAGTACGGCCAAAAAAATGAAAAGATTGCTAAAGTTGCAGTAGAAGCCATTATAGGTACTACCATCGAACCCTGCGGTTTATTTATTGATCCAATTTTTCCATTTTTGGCTGCTTCTCCCGATGGCCTAATTGGAGACAGAGGTTTGTTAGAAATAAAATGTCCATGGTCCGCTAGAAATATGACGCCCGAGGAAGCGATTCGAAATAATAAAATATTATTTTGGTCTAAAGAGGAAATTAACAGAAAACACAAGTGGTATTATCAAGTGCAAGGCCAACTTCATATTGCTGACAGACAGTACTGTGTTTTTGCGGTCTGGACACCGTTAGGGGTTAAAATAGAAACTATATTTAAGAACGACGAGTTTTGGACTAGTGAAATGGAAGGAAAATTGTGTTCGTTTTATATGGACTGCCTACTGCCCGAATTAGTTGATCCGAGAAAAACGCGAAATATGGAAATTCGGGACCCTGAATCTATTTTAAGGGCAATAGAAAACAAGAAACGAAAACGAGATGCATAATCCGGAGAATTTTATCTATAATTATAATTATAAAGAAAGTTAATAAAAATACAGCATTGTTTATTTTCAATGTTTAATGACTTATTAATATACATATGAATGAAATTGGAATAGAGTAGTCCTAAGTACGTACAAAAAATTTCCTGAATACGTTTAATTCGAGGTCTATTTAGTTTTGCGTATGTCGACTAGCGGCGCCACAAACTGTACGAAAAATTTCGCAAACCGCGTAGTTACAAGGGTTCCGTGCACGAATTCTGGTGCCGTCATTTTTAGGAATTTCGTCCTCATTTTTTTTTACTGTGCAGACGAGGGATGAAACTACGTACCTGTAGTAACACTTTTTCAAAATTAACTCTAGTACGCTTTCTATTTCAATTTGAATATGATCAAAATTAAGTAAACTTTAGCGCCGGTTATCTTTCGTTCTATAACAATTATTTAAAAAGTGCTTCTACACGTACGTAGTTTCATCCCTTGTCTGCACAATAAAAAAAAATGAGGACGAAATTCCTAAAAATGAGGGCACCAGAATTCGTGCACGAAACCCTTATACACGGTTAAAATTCAATCGCGTTGGATCCCTCTTCACCTTTGCTTAAATAATCAGGTGGCCCAGTTTTATCAGAAGAATTGTTATCAACATCATTTGAACTGCAAAGAGGCACTGTTGTGGGGACTACTTGGTCCATTTTGGGCATTATAGAATTCCATCTCCTACAGACAAAAATATATTGAATACGCATACTCATAAAGTCCATGCCCAAAAAATATGTAACACATGAATAGTAAATCAACCCCCTTACCCTATAATGAACGATTTTGGCTACTTTTTTATTACGTTTATTAATTATATATAGTAAGTGTAATTACTTACCTTTGCGACAATTTCTTCATTGCGGATTTTCGACTTTTTAAACTTCGTGACAAACTCCCCATACACTTCGGCATATTAAAAAATTTTAAAACAAACAAATTAGCGCATTAAATAATGAGTGTAAGTCACTGATGAAAGTGGTTTTAAATATGAAATTAGCAGAGAAAAATAGTAATGCATCAATATAAATAATTACCGTTGGATTAAATTTCCATTAAAGGGTTAGGTAGGTATACCATAATTTCTTTAAATGGGCGGATGAAAACTCGTTACCTAATTGTTTTTAATTTCTTCATTACTAGTAACCTTCAGTTCGGGTGGTAAATCCGGTATTGCCCCTTTACAATTTTGTGAGTGTCATTAGAAAATTCCAAATTATTTGCTGTTGAAGATAAAGAGAAGGTTTAGAAATGTACAGCAATTATAATTAAATTAATTTATGTAATGTAATTTGGAATCCCTCAAAGACATGTGACCTTGCCTTTGGCAGTTTAACTATTCAGGTAAAACAACTTTTACTTAGCTACACTAGTGGGCGCTCCGATCGTTTCAAATCTCGTCGGGATGTATAGAGGACCCTTAAGTGCATTTAAATATCATCTTTCCACGAAAGCGTTTGGGTCCAAGGTGCAAAATATTTTGTTGCGCTATATTTGAGTGGCTACTTAAGTTAAAAAACAGTTTATTAATCACAGTTATGCACCCAATTTCAAATTTGTTTATACGAGGTGCTAATGACATTATAAATCAAACGGCAGCCGATAAGAAGTTTAATAGTATATTAAGATACAAGTGTATAATCAAGTCTTTAAAGCATGCGCAACGAGTTTAAGGGCACGACGCAAAGCGGAGTGCCTTTAACGTTGCAAGTGCTTTAAAGACCAATTATACACGTGTATCTTATAGTATTTTTTATTATACCTGCAGTATAATTTAAACATAGGAAAGTTGTTTCCATGGATGAATAGGAAGTTACTTACGAATAAAGTCTTAAATGCATCCATAATGCTGGCATATATGAAGGAAATGTCAAAGGTATTTAAATCTTCTATATTTTGGTGCATTCATTCAAAACTTTAAAGCAATGCTGTGATTAAAAAGTGGAACAGATTTGGAAGCATACCCTAAATTACGCGCGTTTGTGAAAGCTTCAACCAAAGGATAGGTACAAAAGCCAAAGAAATGTTCTGCATTTACAGAAAGCGACCTAGAGGATTTTTTATTTCATCCAGATGACAGTTTCAAAAGTCATACTTGAAGTATCGTTACTTAGCAACTTTAAAGCACGTGTGTTTTAAAGGCCCTTTTTCGCACGCAATTTGAGTGTTTAAAATGGAGATTGTGATTCAGGTATAATAAAAAAACAATTCATTCCTACGTTTTCAAAATCTTAAATTGTAAGGGCAAATTATGGGCATTTCCATACTGCGGAACATTGGTAATTCTGGCCATAAATAAACTAAATTGGAGCTAATAAATTGTGAGGAACCTGAAGCACGGATTAAAATTAGTCTATCATCTTGCAAGATTCACGTTCAACGCGGTAACCAAATATTGTTACCGTTGTTATCGCTACGATACAAAAGTTTCCCACAGCTTTTTTAATAAACAATTAAAAGTGAAGTAGATTTGAAGTTAGAAACTTAGGAACAATGCAAGCTACATGTTTCGACAATTCAGTCATCATCAGGCTAATAAATGTGATAATTTGCCGACCAAGCATCCTTGTTCCATAAATTCAAGAAAAAACCGCATTCTGGACACCAATGGAAGCGAGTTGCCTTGTAGGTAAATTTACTGAACCGAATTTTAATTTTGAAACCAAAGTAGAAAGGAACTTAAGAATTAGTACTTGTATTCTTTGAAATCTAATTTTTCAGAACGTGTCCAGTCCAGTGGGTGGGTGACGAAACGTTTGTAAGCAAGTATTACGGAATTAAATAGAACCGGTACTGAGTTTCGTTAGGGTAATTATTCCGGGGGCGAATTTGACGTCGAGGTAGAGAATTTTCCTACAATATATCGTGTTTCTGTAGTTTGTTGTCCCTACTTTTCTAGCGTTTATTTATGATAAATTATAGTGTAATATTTAAACAAAAATAAAAATGTGGGTAAGCGGTGGTTAAATCGTGAGTAAGCGCATTTGCTTCCATTATTCATTTCGTCCACGAGCACCATTTTTTGTCACCGTCGTGTGGCCATTGCCTAAGCTTATATTAATTAGACAACGTTTATATAAATACATTACTGATTTATTAAGGTTTAAATAATAAATAGAAAATCATGAGGTTGAACAAATATTAAATTGCATATCCGCCTTTTTGGAACGTTGCACTTCTATTTTGAGTGTTATTTCAAGATATTGTGCTCACATTAATCAAAAATGGGAATTATGGATTATTTTTGTTTCTTCGTTCTTAGCTTTGCCCATAATTAACGCACTGTAATTCACCCAGAATGAATGGGTTTGAAGTGACCACCTGAAGAACATTTGGTAGGTATAATGGGTCTTTTTTGTATTTATGGACTCCTTACAAATATTCATCTAAAAAAAGTATCTTTTTCACAGCACTAATAAATCATAATTTTAATTAAATCGATGTTTATACATTGTTTCATTCCCAAAGAATCCATTAGAGATGCAAACAACCTTCGATGACATTTTAAGACAACAAATTCATGAATAAGTAACTATGTATGTACGAATAAATTATTCTTATCTTACAACTCTTTTTAATGCACTCTTAATGTACACTACAGCCAAACAAATCTTGACTCCCTACTTTCAAATTTCAAGCACACAATGCAAATGAGTGGCTCTTGCTGCATAATTCAGAACATCTTATATTGGCAAACTGCGTACACCTACTTTCTTCTTATGGTAATTTATTATTGGCACAGACGAGTTTGTGTGGGAAGATCTCAAATGAAAGTGATTTTCTGCACTTGCACTTTTGGCGAAGCAAGATACCTGTGAAACGGAAAGCTGGTATTGTGACCCTAACCCTAGGCAACACACATTACAGTATTTTTGCTCTCAAAAATATTTTCAGGGTGCTTTCTCTTGGGAGCAACGTTAATTCAATCAAGACGATTCCAACGACATCAGCACCTGCAGACCAACGCCAAAATGTGAACCTGGTGGTGTTCCCCCATAGCTTCCATGGCATTCAAATAATGAAATCCATCTAAGCCTTGCAACCAAGGTGAGGGTAGTTATTGGTTTTGGTTGGTTCTACGTAGAAGTCTTCTTTTTGACAGTTTGTCTATTTCAACCCATGCTAAATATTGCGGACACTTATTCCTTGGAAAGTTAATGTTATCTGTACGATGCACCTTCATTATGATAAATGATGCGTTGCGCAAAACATGATCATGGATTAACGAAACTAAGATCTGCATCTCGAGTTCAAAATAAAAATGGTGGTTTCAAAGTTGAGAGCTATTAACGATAAACCATTGATAAGATTAGCTGAGGCTGAGCCGTTAGCGATCAGTTTCCATTTGCTTCATAACATATGCCGAATATGTTCAATACAGTTGGGGAGTATTTGGTAATTTTCATAGCAATAACCGTAATCACTTTCATTAAATTACTAATAACGCCTGAAGGTACGCCGATATTTAATGTATACCGCACACCATCCAGTTTGCATTGGCTAAAAACGGGGGTGATGTTTATAATCCTATCAATTCAAAAGGTGAGAGCCATCTAGCTATAAACTTTTCGACAGTGATTTAAATTTTTTAGCTACAACGAATGTTGGCATCCACGTCCATAGAGTATGAGAACTTGGAAACGCCACAGTTGTTGGCCCACGATAACGTAACGTAAATCTTCGCTCCAAAAACGTTACATTTACACCATTTTAGGCGATCGACTTTGTTTATTTCACCGCCTGCAATGCAGAAGGTGATAATTTCACCGCATCAATAGCTCGAAGAAGCAGTAGCCTGGCAGACGCTCACTTATTTTTAAAATTGCCTTCATCCTCACTTGGTCTAATGGAACATCCCAATACTCCATCAACCACGTTTAGCACGGACAAAAGCGAATTTCACGCAGAGGGCTTGAAGATGATCTCCGTTACCCCAGTTAAGAAGTGGAAGATTACGTATGACGGAAAAATGAGAGCGACTGCCGATTCCAGTAGATTGTATTCCATTCAGATTTATTTAACATTCAGATCAAGTATTCCAATATTTGATAGTGTTGTAGATATTGATTCTTTCTTAACAGCAAGCGCGATCTCTTTAGAACCTTGGAGTGTGGAATACTTTCAATTGTTAAACAAGTATGTAGGTCATACGGGATAATCTGTGATTAGATTAGTTTACTTTAAGGAAAGATCGGTTGCACTACGGCCAATTTGGTGAACTGTCTGGGAAAATTGTCATTGAAGGTAAAGAATATACATTAAGTATGGACGCCATCCGATATCGTAGTTATGACGCAAACTGGAATTGGGCCGTTGTCCATCGCTCTGTTGTTCATTATTTAACCGCTGAGAACGGCGATCGCTTTATCATTGGTAAAGAATCCATGCCGATAACGCTTTCCAAGTGAGTATACGTTGTGCAGTTAGAATTACCCACATTTCCTTTTGCAGTTTGACGTGGGGCTTTGTGTATTGCGTTAGAGAGAAAAAGACTTATCCTTTGCAAGGTTGCAATTTTGAACTGTATCAGCATGGAGAAGAAGAAGAGCCACCTATGGACTATGCCTTTATATGCAGTGCAGGTGAGTTACGTACCTGGGGCTTTCTTTGTAAAGGTTCCAAATTTGATAGGCAATCGGCAGTATGCCATTCAAATCAAAGTGGAGCAGTCCTCGGTGTGTTATGTTAGCAAAGAGTGGGAGTGCAAGGTTATCGAGCGAATATGTAATGCGGAGATAGACGGCAAAAGAGGATGGGGTACAAGTCGATGGTTATATCGCAATGTATACGGGAAAAGTTGACTTGTATCTTTGAATTTCGCAATTTATGTCTAATAAAAGCGTGTGGGGTGGCTTCTATCATCGACTACCGTCCTTCTTAAATTTGTACTTAGATGATTTTATGCTTCGTGTCATGTACAGTATGTGTATTCCAGGTAGCCATCCCAGAATAAGTCAGTTTATATTGAGACAGTAAAAAAGTCGGTTAACCCAATTACTTCGGTGCTTTTGCCTGCTATTTATTCGTTTCGCCTTGTACTCACTTCACTTCGTCCAATCAGAATTCAGAAGAGAGCTATAATCACTCTACGGCGAGGCAGTGCACGGCACGGTTGCCACAAACAACAAAGAACCATCCCCAAAATTTAAGAACCTTCCAGGCAGCGCATTTATATAATTCAAACTAAGTCTTTTAGGATGTAAAAGTCCCAAAAGGTTACTATAAAAGTCGCCCAAGTCTCGAAAGGGATTTCAAACCTTTTAAACGTTTATACATATGTTTCAGAGCCTTTAGGAGATTTCAAAAGCTGAGAATTTAATAAGTTTCATGTGCTATGGATATAAAACGTCAGGCGCGAATTCAAAGGAGGGGGGGGCGCAGGGGGCACCTAGTGACTATTGGAAGAGAGTTATATAACTTCCAATTCTTGATCATATATTGACCTAAAAAATCGTTTTAGTGAAAAAACATAAAATTTAAACTGAAAATTAGACACAAGAAATTTGCCGATTTCGTTTTTACGAACATATACAAAAAAAAAACATATTGAGTTTTACTAAACACCGTCAAGACGTTTTATTTTGTTAAAATCATTATCAACTTTATTTTTTATATGGCCCATAAAAAAAGTAGATACTATATTGAGTAGCATTTTTGCAAATAAAACGATGTCCGACACACAAAACAAAAGAAAACAAAAGTCGTAAACTATTGGTTTCAACAAGATGGTGTACCCGCTCACAATGCCCTAATCGTGCAATAATGCGTATTGCACAAATTTCGTGGAAGGTGGAAAAAAAATCGATTTGCACATACAAAAAGAAAGTTCGACTTTCATTTAGACATTTTCTTGTTTGTTCTTTTCTTAGTTTATTAAGAATTAGTTATTTGTTCAATATATTATGTATTATCCGCCAAAAATGCTCTATTTTTATAAGTATAATAAATGTTTTTTTTTAATATATTCACTTTAAAAATTGTATGCGACCCTTCCTAGACCAAATCCTAAATCCGCCACTGTGATATGTTAAAAGTAGGTGTAGGAGTGGACATTTACCCTGTATCCCGCCTATCCTGTCTGACCCTATCAGGCGCTACTTTCGGAGGTTTTCATACATAAAATTTAAAAAAATATGGACACAGATGAAGCATAATATCACAGAATATTAGTAAGATTTACATTATTCTTCGATTCCAAACAGGTGTTCTTTTGTACTCATATAAAAATAAACAGTGGCCCTATTAGAACCATACAAAAGTAGGTATATATCGAGGGGTAAACCGCTAGAGGAAATAGTGTACAAGTTGGAGGGAATTAAGAGGGAATTAGGGTATTTCGAAGGTATTAAAAGGAATTAATAGGTATTTTGAGAATTACCGAGGAAATTAAAAGGTATTATGAAGTATTTAGTAGGGAATTAAAAGGAAAAGGAGGAAATAAATAGGTTTACACGTTTATGTGAGTACGAAAAAATCAATAAGTTCAATAAATATAAATTTTAGTAAAGTTATAAAGGTAGGTATTAGTCTATTTTTTTTTCTATTTTGTTTATTTATTGCCCCTCTCTTGTTCCGGGCCCTCAACAGGCTTGCGCACAGTTACAGAGTGACCCGCATAATGCTTTAAAGTTGTTCTATATTACTCCGGTATTTACCTTACGAATTAGGGAAACTGCAGGAAAACCTAATTTGGAGTAGCCGGCAGAATGCTCGAAACTGATCTAAGGAAATTCCTATCTCTGATACAAATAAAAAATTCTTACCTCAGCCCAGGTTCGAAAACCCGTCCTCCGGCTTTGTAGCCCAATTATAGAGAATAGAGCTGTTGTAAAAATTGTGGGGAATTCAGAGCAATAATGTAGGTAGGTATTAATAGGAAATAAAAATGTTTTGAGGAGTTCATGGCTATAATTAAGGTATTAGTAGGAAATAAAAATTTAATTAAGGAATTAAAGGGAATTTTTTCAGGAAAAGGTATTTGGTGTACAAATTTTTGCTAGCGGTTTACCCCTCGGTATATATTTTGTAGAAAAAATTCGGTCATCCAGAATTCATTTCTTTTTTTGTATTGTCTTAGATCCCATGAAACGTACCTATATCATTGAAAAAATTGATTTTTTTTCAATGCCTATACGTGGTTTTAATAGTTTAAAAATTTGAGTAGGTACACAACTGTCAAAATCGAAAGCCCTGGTAGCTATTCTGGAGGGCGCCTAAGCTGCTCGAGAGGGGGGGGGGAGGCAATAATCAATGGTATAAGCTTTGAATATAAAATTATATTCAAAGGTATAAGTCATTGAATAAAAAATTGAACTTTATTGGCCACTTTTAAATGTATACCCTGGTATGTAGGCAGCCCATTATACGCAATTTCTCTTGCTATTTTACTATTTTTGGCATCGAATGCTTTTAGACTTAAAATTATGAAAATTATACTACTCCGCTTACCTTGAAAGAATTGAACACCGCCATCCGTAACACCAAGTCATGTTCACAGGGAGAAGACGGTATCCATAACCAGCTACTTCATCACTGTACCCCTGAAATGCAAAAAGGTATATTAAATTTTTTAAATATTTGTTGGAGCGAACATACTTATCCCTCGGAATGGAAACAAGCCATTGTCGTCCATATGTCTAACCCAGGAAAAGATCAGTTGCTGGCAAAAAGTTATCATCCAATTAGTTTGACATCGTGCTTGAGTACACTGCTAGAGAAAATAGTTAATGTGCAGTTGCAAACGTTTCTCGAAAGCAACGTATGGTTAGGGTTTTCTTCGATATAAAGAGTGCCTATGACATCACTTTGAGATTTTCGAGATCCAGAACCTGGTTATTTGTTATATTCTCTGAGAGCATATCCAACAAGAAACGTACGTAAATAGACGTCTATTTAACACCAAATCACATTATATCGAATTGTCCACAATATTCTGCGGCGCGTTTCAATATTAACCCAGGCATGGGAAAATAACTTTAAAAATAAAGAGCAATACAAAAAGACTCTAGCTTTCATTCAGAGAATTGGAATAGCAAACAGACTGTGATATTTTTAATTTTTGTTTTTTGTGAGTAGGTAAATGTAACCTAGCGCGTCTTGTTCTGCGTGTAGGTATATCGTAGCTATGATATAAAAAAAAGAAATTAGTGTGCAGGATAATGGCCTTAGAAGCCGAAGCCTCAGATGGGGATTTAATTGGGACAGCCCCACACTACTCCAGACCTCCATCTGGAGTGTGCGTAATGCATTTCCCCATCTGTCAAAAAAAATATTGCCTTTAACCATTGAATAGTGCTTATTCAATGCTTTAACCAAAAAAAGAAAATAAACAAGAAAAAGTTAATGCAAGGCGAAGTTCAGATTGATAATAAAACAATGCCAATCTGTCCTTCCACATTTTGAATTCCGATCCACGAAAAGAAGAATATTACATTATAAAAATAAGTATAGAGTATGAGAAAAGATAAAGAAAAAAAAGAGATAAATATAAATTGCATCAAATTAGGTGTACCAATCTGTTTGAAAATTAAATTTCTAGTACAAGTACGCCAGTCTTTTATTTATTATACTGTGAAATAAGGTTGCGGCATGTATGAGGCGACGATTATTATTTATTGATGCAAACAATACCTCCGCAGTGCGATGAACCAAACATTTACTGTGGCCCTTATCTATGGACAAATAAAAACCATTAGGTACATATAAAATACTAAAGCTCTGGGAGCGTTTTATATCTCGCACTGTGGGGTGGGGGAAAAGATACCTCCCATCAAAATACCTGCGCGACTGATTGCATCACGAGAAGGTGATGGGCGATGGGGTCGTCACATCCCGACGCCTTATTTATTATTACTAAAATGAAACCATTTGACATAAGAGTCTGTAGTCCCTCTTGCTGAACTACAATTTTTTGGAGGATTGATAGTGCATGTTCTGCTTCATTATGCGAGTACGGACATCCGGGGGGTATGGCGTACCACCATTTCTTATAAATAATTAAAACATATAGTGTGAAAATTTTGACTCAGAACATAACAACAAACGTACGGCACAAAACATGAATATTGAAGAATATCTATGGCATAAAACCGGCGTTATGCAACCCAGCTTACAAGTTGGACAGCAGTGTAAACAAAAGAAATTTATTACAGTCAAGCCAACTAAACAGTTTGTTCTTGTTTCAGTTTAAGCACAGATAAAGTTTTATCTGCGAGTTTAAGAAATGAGAGGCGCGAGAAGTCCATTGTAAAACACAGAGACCAATACAGTCAACCAAGTGCTTATAAATAGAATTATATTAGGTACTACTTATAACTACTTATTTATCAAGTGTGCCATAAGGTTCTTTATCCTTTTTTTTTAACACTTTGTTCCGTATTTCCCTCGTCTTGTTTGGGTACTTTTAAAAACATTTAAATAGGAATTAAAAACTTACATAAATAATTTATTGTTTTAGGCCAATTTATGTAAACATACCAATGACAGTTAAAAATCAAAATATTTAATTTTTTAAAAACATGGTAAAAATTTAAAATGAGACTAGCAATCATACATTACAACATTATAGGAAGTTCCATACAATCTCACAATCATTTATAGATCATTAAAAATCGTACCTACACTAAAAATTCACATGGGATTAAAAAATTGTTTTAAAATTAAAATTTACAGATCACTATATACGCTTCCCAAACAAGTATCACAGTTTTAGTTTTAAAAAATGGACAAAAATTATTAAACAACATTTTACAAATAAATATTAACATAAATAAATAAAATTAACAGTAAGATTTGGGTTCAGGCCGATCCTTGCATGGCCGACATATATGCAGTTTCCATTTCCATTTGTACTTTCATATGCTTCTCAATGGTCGACACTGGTTTCGGATACAAATCAAACACGCCAATGTCAACAAAAAATCGTAAATCTTTTACTTGAATTATTCTATCTTCGTGTTCGCAAGCGAGCCTACAAAACACGATATAAAATGCATTATACCGAGAGAAAACTTACTTTGGTATCTTCTGGAAGGTAACCATTAAAGATAAATCGTTAGCAATGGCAGATATCATGTAAGGTACTAAATCTAGATCGTCAGGTTGTGACTTTTCAGAACCGAGGATTACTTTCTCGATAGTGCATCTTGGACAAAACTCGTTATCGGAACTAATTTTTTTCAGTAAACGATCAACATAACTGAAATTATTGCTTTTGCATTTATTTAACTTCTTCAAGACGTTATTATATTCGGCGACGCCTAAACGATTCAACTTTTGTAAAGCTAGTATCCTTTCCAAAACGCATCCTTTAGGTAGATTCGTTTCCGTTCCGGCGTCATCGCAATGTAAACAATTGCGATTCAACGGAGACGCCTTAAGTAACGCCCGCGTTACCAAAGCGCAAAAATGGTTGATTAAACTGAAAGGGGAAAAGTCACGATTGGTTTCTAGTCGATGTCGAATCATACTCATTGTCGCTGCATTCGAATAGTTCGTTTAGCATCGTATAAAATTTGTCTTGCGACGTGTTTTCGCCGTAATAGTAGACTCCGTTGCAAAATATTCGCAAATTATTTTGGGGGTTGGAGATGAGCGCTTTTAGTGCCCTACAGATTTTCTCTGTATCTCTGCAAAATAAAGGAGAATTAAGCATTTGCAAATGCTCCGAAGCTGGGCGCATTTATTAAACATGCTGGAAGCAATGGGTGGATTTGTCGCAAGGTACTTAGGTCTGTGAAGCTGCCACAGGATATTTTATAACAAGCGCTCAAGCTAAGTACCGAAGGTAACCAAACCAATTAAAGAGTATAATAGCAGAGAAAAAAATATTGTCATTAGTACAGATTAGGTAATCTGTGTCGTTACAGAGCACCGCAGTAAATCAAAAATTAAAAGCATTTGCTTCAAATTTTGGGCAGGAACTCTGGCTTAACGCCTAAAATGATCAAATGATCCTATAAAAATTTCTCAGACCCATGGACATACATATGCCACAGTCAAACGATGACCAACAGTTGAGCAAAAAACTGCACAAAAACAGCTTCAAGCTGGCAATGATATCGGTCGAAAATGTTCATAGTCTGTGGCTGGCTTTAGACGTCAAACGAGGGCAGTAACCAAAATATCGTTTTCGTGACCATATTTTTATGTTTCAATATTTTCTATTACCAACTTTATAAAGTCTTTAATTATACAAAAATTTTAGTCTTCTAGCTTGGTGACAATGCTCCATACAGTAACTTACTAACTTTAACCACATTCAACACACTGTGCTTTAACTAAACAGCATCAACATACACCCTTTAAGTTGTATCTCGAGTTGTATGTATTACCACTGTAAAAATCAGTAGGAAATATCAAATAATATCCACAAAATCAAAGTGATTTTCAAGAAATTTCTTAAAATCACCTGTTAACATCATGATTTCTGGAACTGTGTACTAGAGGTGGCACTATTGAGTATACAACTACGTTACTGATTGCCCATGTTGCTATGTAACTGTGTAAATAACATGACATGTTAAATAATCTATAATCTATAAAAATAAGTTAGTTGTTCCACAAATTCTGATTCTGTTAATAAATCCACATTTTTCACCAAAAGCAGTTGTGCACCTGTAATTTTCCACAACTCTGTTAGTTATCCCCTTGCACCATCACAATTGGTAATAAATTATAATGTAAACTGTAAGGGTTCATTACAAATCAAACCATTCAAAAATTTTAAAAAATCAAAAACAATTAATATTATTTATTTATTTGAAATTATCGAAGATTTCCGAAGGTTGGAAAATACACAAAAGATATTGACATATATAAAGCACACGAAGCTAATCTAATTCAAAATTCAAGCAACCAAAGCAAATGGAAAACTCACCCAGAAAATAAGTCCAGAGGACAATAGGAACTCAGTTTTTTAATTTGCTGATTTTTTATCTAAAAACAATTTATGTCAATTTTAATTATTATTCTTAATTGGTATACAGGATGTCCTGTCTAAGATTTGAGATTGTGCAATCCAATCCGATAAATTTTGTTTTTGTTTTTTTTACTGCACCTTAATTGCGCCAATGCCCTCTATGCAATTCCTTTAATTTCTACCAAGTGCAACATTAATAATCAAAGTGCAGTAAACCCTCAGACAGAACATCCCATTTTGACCATGTTTATGTCTCTTAGTCAATTGTTGATACAAGGACTACCTGACAGTTTTTCAAATATATTTTACGATTCCTTCGTGTGATACATTTATGAATTTATTTTGCAATGGAATACTTGAGAACCCAGAACATGAGTAATGAATTAGAGGAAGTAAATGAAATGAACTCAATTACATGGTCAGCTCAGATAAGTGAGTCGCTATAAAAAAAATTACCTTTAAATACTGTTTCACACAAAACTGACACTTATCAATGACTCTATCATCCTCCATAAAACCTTTTTTTGGTTTAATCTCGACTGCATAAGTCACGCCTTCTCTACAGAAACTATTAAACGTAGTAGGCAGAAAAGCATAATCGACAAATATTGAGGCCATTCCAACCTTTAGGCCTTTATGCTTACGTTTCTCTAAAAACTTAAACATTATTACATACGCACACACAATTCGTATCTATACCAGGTCTAAAATTTGCCAATTCAAATTCTAATTTTTTTATATCACCTTTCGTCGTTTCGATACTAACGGCCGGTTGAGTATACCAACTACCTAATAGAGGAACCATAATTAAATTGTAAAAATCCAAATCCCGCTTTTCTTGTTGCATATCGCTCGTAATGTCCCAGTGAAATATTTCCATAATCCAAAATAGAAACCATTGCAAAATCGTTTGGGGTTTATCACATTTTTTTATTCTCAGAATTTTATGACAAGAGGGCAATGATAAAACCACGTTAGCGTTTCCCTCTCCCCTGTACAGCCATCCTTTCGTTAAAATTCTATTTAAATTCTTGTCGGTCACTTCCCTGTCCATTTTCTTCAAACTTTACTAAAACACAATTCAAAGAAGTTACAAAGCTTGCCGGCGTGGGATCATTAATTAAATTGGTTTTAAAAGCAGGATGTTCCTAAGGAAGTTGCGGTGTGGAATTGAAATTGAATCGAGATACATTTGTTACTAATTAAGGATACTACACTTACCCCCGACTATTATATTACTAATAAAGCTATTACAAAATTGCATTTGCATAAATAAATTATTGTTTAAATTGTTGGGAGAGGATAATCGCGGTGGGATAACCACATTGTTTAGTTCATATCAACAACAGTAGATCAAAGTTCATGCTACCGACACTTTTTTGACCTACATCTGTCTTGACCTACAATATGCCAGTGGCGCCCACAAATCACTTTGTGGTGGCGCCCCAACAAAGATACGGACCCGCCAATTTTAAACTTTTCTATCTGTCTGGAATAAGCAGCAAAGATAAATAATAAATATAATATAATAATAAATAAAAAATATACAACTATCTAGTCAAGAACAAGTGTAGTTTTTACTGAATAAGAGTGGTTTTTCCGGGTTGTAGCATTCCCAACAACGCCGTTTGAAATTGTGTGGCCCAATCTCACTCGCCTAGGCCTTATAGCGGTCTAAGTCTTTGGTAGAGTTCTGCCGTCTATTTTCAAAGCTCTAGGTCTAAAGACATTTGAAAACTTATGGCAATAAATTATTATTATGAACGCTCTGGTACTTAACTACAAAAAATTCTGCAAATTCTCTTATTACGAGTTTTGAAGAAACTTTTATTATTCCGCAAGCCTCTGTCTATAGAATTGGGGTTAAATGGAAGAGCAGACTGTGGCATTGCCGCAGTGCTGAACTTCGCCCTTAATGTACTGGAATAAATATTTGTTTTCTTTTTTTTGGAATAATAAAGGCAATATTATTATTATTAATTAGGTTTTCCAAACCCTATGGACTCAAAGTACAACAACGAAAGGAATGTACTTGAAACCAGAAGTAACAATACAGTCACAAGGATTTGATGTCGAAGACTGCCCAACAATAAGTAGTAACTTCTTGATTTATACAATGCCTTTAGTGCACTACTACCACAGTTCTTTGTGTATCTGTGTTAAGGTTTTTTAAAATTAATATGTTCGTTTTTTATTTTGTTTAAAATCGATTTTCAATTTTAATTTGAGTAGCGCTCAATTATAATCCGTTTAATAGTTTTGGTAAGTCGTATACATCACTTTCTTTAATCTATTGGTCTCTCTGACCAATGCGTGCAGTCAGTTATAGAACATGGTGAAGGTTGTGAAAGGTTCAAGATTCTTAGTTTCTAGTTTTGTTTAAGGTCTGTAATAGAAAAGCAACTCCCAAGTTTTGTTTTCACTTTTTCAACAAAAAATCAAAACTAAACAGCTGCATTTTCATTTGTCAAAACTACTCCTAAAACCTCCTGCAATTGACAGAAGGTAAGAAAAAACCATTGTCGTAACATCTTTTATTAAGTGTCAAAAAATATTAAAATTAAGCAGCAGCGAGTTCTTCCTGAACTCTCTTCCACTTACTCAATGGGCCGTGCTCTGGACGGTATTTGACATTGCATCCGTCTGGGGCAAGTTGTCCAGCTGCTTTCATTTCTTCATAAACTTGTCTGTCGTATTTTGTGAATCCCCATTTCTTCGAGATGTAAATCTTTTGACGGCCAGGGAACTTGAATTTGGCACGACGTAAAGCTTCAATAACCTAAAAGCGGATATAATTTCCTCAAATATCTTAAAAGGTGACATTATACCTGTGCCTTAAAACGGTCCGTTGAGCGTACACTCATGATAGGTTGCCCAATATGAACGCGAGCGACAGTTCCTTGAGGCTTTCCAAAAGCACCACGCATTCCTGTCTGAAGCCTGCAATTCTATTACTTCACAAGTTTTAGACATAAAGCTCGACTCACCTATCGGCTCCGGCACAGGACAACATTTTGTTAATTCGGATTACATGGAAAGGATGCAATCGCATACGAATATGGAACTGATCTTTACCGCAGTTCTTCACCAAGTATTTGTTACAACAAATACGGCCCGCTTCCAATGCTTCGGAGCTCAGCTGTTCATATTCGTCCGAAACTAAGTGGACGCACAGAGGAAAATCTTCGACGGCCGCCTTCTTTTTACCCAAATCGAAGATACGGATTTTCGGATCGGGAACACCACGACAGAACCGCGATTTGGGATACGGTTTGTTCTTACAATACCGATAACTAAAAGTGTAAGCTAAAGTACACCAAAAATAAGGGATTCGAGGCATCTTACCATCTTGCAGGTCTCCTGCCCATTTTCACCTACAAAAATTAGTCAAACGTTAAAATTATCACGTAGGAATGCAGTAAATGAATTTGTTTAATAATTGTTGTTAAGAATTTGTTGAAAAAGTTAAGGATGGTTGAGAAATTAATAGATTTGCAAAACTTACCGTCTATGCTAGACAGATTTTTACAATAAAGAAAATTCACTACAAGAGTGCCAACTTTAGCAAAACGAACGAATTGACACCTAAAACGTGACTCCCCTGAGAAGCGCATGCGTTGCGTTACGTACACAAATTTATTGATATGATGAAATGTACAAATTTTTGCATTTTCTTTACGAAAATTTCTAAATAAAATAATGTGTTAAAGATAAACAACCTTTATTTATGTAGGATTTAAATTTGATCGAATCTGTCAGTCAATGTGGCTTTTGGCAACACTGCACCAACTTGACATTTCAGAAACTAAAAAAAATTTGTAAAAATCAAAACCAGATGAAAAGCACTCAAAAATGAAATTATGGAAGTAGCGGAACAAAATACCGAAACTAAAAAACGGTTAACGGTAGAAGAATTGCAAATAGAAATTTTACCCGTAATTTACGAAATCATTAGAAGGTTACTTGAACCACTGTCCCAAGAGTTGTGTAATAAACTTATTTCTAATTGTAGTATCGAAAAAGATCATCACGAAACATCTGCCAAGACTAGAGAGTCCCAAGATTGCGCGCAAAAGGTGCTGGAACTGCAGAAACGTCTAGATCAGGCGCGAGTTCAGGTAGTGACAAAGCCACATGGCACATTTAAGAAACCTACATCTTTTAGATCCGTTTACTGCCGGGCATCGAGTTCAGTAAAGAGCAGCAGCTAAATAACCTAGAAGCTTTAAAGACGCAGTTACGATTAAAGCAAGAATTACTGCACAAGTATCGTTACATGTACTCATTTCAATCTCACAAAGCATAATGGTGTTCCGATTTCTATTACGTTTTTTATCGAATAATGAGCATTTAGTTCAGAGACTTAGTGAGTCATATCCCATCAGAAGAGCGGCTCAGTGGGTCGTACTAATTTTCTACCGCGGAAAGGGATTCATAGAAGATAACAATCTTCACAACAGATTAACACCCGAACAGTTCAGGTCCTTCATAAAGCGATTTTCGGAAAATATTAAAGCGGAATTGAAACAGGGAAAGGACCAATTTAAAAAGTAACACCGTGCAAAATGTTTAGCAGGCTGAAAACGTTAGTTTGGATTACTCCGCAGGAATTTTGTTGGAGAGTTCTCGTTTCATTTTTGCCACCTGTATCAGTTAGATTCAATAAAGTTTATGTCGATTTTGTTGGACCTTGTTTTGCAATAGTTATGTTAACGTTAGTTTTGAATTATGGTAATTTACAACACAAATTTGTACATTTGTTAGCACCAATCCAAAGTGTTTTTCTATATGTTTTAGTTGCTCCAGTTATTTGTTATATTTTAAACGGGTTAGGACGGTCCAAACTAACTTTCTTAGAATTGTTCTGTATAGTAACGTATGCGCTTTATGGGCACATTGTGACCTTAGTGATATCTTTTGTTTTTTATTTGGAGGAGAGTAATTTGTTTTTCTTCTCTTGCATGGTGGTGTTTGCAGGACTGAGTGCTCTGCGATTAGTTTTCTTACAAATGCAATCGATTCCCCTACCTGGCGCTCGCCTAATTGTTTGCAGTTTTTCCTCAATTGTTCATGTTTTATTTTTAATATTCCTTCATTTTACTTATATGCATCCGAGTTTTAAGTATGGTAGAAAAGCCAGGAGTTGATACATATATTTAATTAGTAATTTGGCGAACTGAGATATGTAGATGTAATTGAAGTGATGAATAAATAGAAGACTTTCTCATTTATTTGAATGACTAGGTTTAAAGTTAGCAGTGAAAGGAAAGTGCAGAGTTCAGCTGTAGAGATACGAATCACGAATGCAATTAGACTATTCCAGAATGCATCAAATAACATTAAGAGAGAAGAAAGGAGAAGCAGTTACTTAAAAAAAATAGATCTGCAACGCCAATAGTGCCAAAGCAATCGAACAGAACAAGAGAGGGATAATAAATAAATAAAAACTAATTGTAGTAAAGATGACTCAGAAAGAACTGAAGTAAAAACCGTAGGGTTCGAATAGAGAAGAAGCTCTGAAGTCGCCAGCTGTAGCTGTACCGGGCACGATGCCCTGTGTTCCTTTTAGGAAAGCTGATGAGCCCGAAATGGGATTTCCCTTGTCCCCTCATGTACCACCTATTTCCTCAGGGCTTGAAACACTTTTGTGGTTATTTACTTACTGTGAATGTCAATTCAAATGAACAACTTGCAAAATGAGCTGCTCCGAACGAACTGCACCAGAGCTTCACACACTCGAATGGAAAGCAGTTTTTCGTGGTTTAGTCGATTTTAAATTTTGTTTATAGCCGCATTGTCATTTGTTTATTTAATTGCAAAGAATTTTGTGCTATTGGGTGTGGAACGTTTGGAAATATTTGCGTATTGTTTGAAAATTTTATCTCATTTTTTTATTCGTTAGTAGATAAGAGTTGCGCTTCTGGAAGAAACAGAAAGACGTACATATCACCCACGAAGTCCTCCAACCACACTTTTGCTCTCAGACAGTAAGAATATGTTATTGCACACTAACGAAACAATAAACAAGCCTTACATTCAAAACTTTTAAGATAGTTACCTACATATTTACAAAAAAATAATCATTTAATACATATTGCCCTACCAGTTATTAAAATTAAAATTATACGCAACGTTTTTCTTCTTTCTTACTGTTAGTGCCCCCTCGTCATCATTTTTAGTGTTGCTAGAAATATTTCCAGTTAAAAAAAACTGTGCCCCACGCGTTTAGATAATTTACCTTTTAGTAACCTGAGGATTAATATATTTTCCCACACCTGACTTATACACTGTTAATGGTTTCTTCGCTTCCACCTTCCTTTTTTGGGCCAACTCCTCTTCAGCTTGCCTCTTGAGCTCGTCTTCACGATCCTTCTTCAGCTATGAATGAAAAAAAGTAAGTAAAGCGAAATGGGGCTGAAAGACCAACCGTTTCGTCTGCTTCAGTGTATGGATCTACAAATATTTGGGCCTTAACTATAATTATATCCTCTATTGGACGATCTTGATTGTCAACTTCAATGCGCTCCATTATCGTTAAGGTGTCCATGCCGCCAACCAGTCGACCAAATATTGTGTGTTTATTATCCAAATGTTTACATGAACGAAACGTTATAAAGCTAAAAGTATACCCTCAAATACACATTTTACCACATACGCCATACAATTGTGATCCATTGGTATTTTTCCCAGAGTTGGCCATGGAAAGTACGCCGCGTCCTGTATGAGTTAAATTTGGTCTAAACTCATCCTCAAACGGTTTTCCCCAAATTGATTTACCACCTTGTCCGGAATCTGTCGGATCACCACCTTGAATCTACACGAAAATTTACATCATCACACCAGCACCGGGCACTCACCATAAAATGTCTAATCGAACGATGGAACTTAGTGCCGTCATAATATCCGTTGTCACAATGCCTTAAAAAATTTTCGCAGGTTTTTGGAACAATATCACAGTGCAGCTCGAGGTTTAAAGGTCCAATGTTCGTAACCAATCGTACGTAACCCTTCTTTTTCACCCTGGAGTATCGGACGAGATCCTCGTGCATGATGGCCGGCTCGTGCGTCAGCTCTACTGCCATAACTGTTGAGGTAAAGCTGGCCGCCACCGCGCCCGTCGAGTAATGGGCGGCGTTAAACTTATCCGCTTTCTCCGTACTTTTCGGGGTGCCCTGAATTTTTATGGTCGGCTCTTTATAGTCGCGTTCCAGTTCTTCCAGTGTGTGTTTCGTTTCTGGATTCATTTTCTTTATACGCGCTTGGGGATCTCCTCTTTCGGCCACCTCCTCTGTTGCATACAGTGATATTAATAAGGTTCATCGACTTTCGGTATACGTAGATGGGGATAATCAAATTGAGTTAACCGATCGATTAGAGGTCATTAATTTGTCATGCTCCAGCATCAATTTGAGACAGAAATTCTAAATTGCGGAAGGGCACCTTAGGAGAGAGTTAAGAAGTTCTGGAGAGCACTTGTCAACTTGTTTGTTATTTGAAGAGAACTTTGAAAACAAGTGCACTTTCGCAATTGCAACTTCTTCTTCCCTACAGACTGAAATATTTAGATTTTAAGTTCGACGTTTCAGTTTTTCTGGAATTATTTTTAGCTTCCTAGCTTGAGCTACATAGGTGGCTGTTGCGATCACCGTTTTTTGGACATTTCAAACTTCCATGTAATTTCAACGTTTTAGATCACTTTAAACAACTTGTAAAGGGTAAAATTTTCTGCCGTTTGTATGTAGATCACCGACTAAAGTAATGATAATCGGAAGCTTACTGCCATTTAGGCAACCAACCATACACCGTGTGGGATGGGCCGAAACAAAGACGACAATGCGCGCCGCCGCTCAGGGGAATTTCCCTGCTTGTCTCAAAGATTCCTTGTACTGATTGTACGTTTGTACAATATTGCTCAAAAACATAACTGATGACGTGTGTGCAAAATTAGCTAAATTCGAAATTATATGTGCTATTTTTCTTTACAAAAAGCGTCTATCTTTAAAATTTCAAAGAAATGTCTATAAAGTTGACATTGTGCACTCTGCGCATGCGCACAAGTAATTTTTGCAATATGCGATATGTTTGCCATTACTAGAAACATCTGGGGTTAAAAGTTCAAAACAATGCGCAAAACTGCATTTTTGACATTGGTTCTAGTTTAACAAAGTTCCTGCAGTTAAAATTGGACATAACCAGTGCAATAAAAACCGGAAGTCAATGTTGTTTCTAACAGATATAAAGAAAGATGCATAATAATACATAAACATAAATAGCACATGATTCACTGTATCAAAGATCCCAATGGTCAACCTCGAATTTTGGACACCCTGGTCAATAAACTAATATTTAAAGAGAGTATTTACATGTTGAAGATTTTTTTATAAAAAATGTACCTATTTCTTTTAAAATATTGTGTAAAAATATAGAGCTCAAGCTCTAATCAAAAAAGAAAGTTAGCAATAGTTCCGTTTGGTTGAAACACACTATACCTACAAAAACATTCTGAAAAATTATGAACACATTCTACCAAAAGTGTAAGAAAATGATGAAAATATTGTCCCTTGTTCGATATAGAAGATAGGTAAGTTAAACCAATGTCTGAAACTTTGGGGAAATTACACAAAAATCTCACATTGTAAATATGTTTCAAACATTCAAAAAGAGACCATGTGAGCCCACTTACCTTCAGTTTCCATTCGTAAATTATTTTTAACGTGATGAAACAGCGAGATATTAAATTTAGTTAAATCCCTAGGATCTTGCAGAACGATAACATCTTTCCTCTCAAACGGCGCGTCCGTAATCAAATCTTTCCAATTCTTATTCTTAATGTTAAGCTGTTCGATCGCTTCCATTGAGTAGACGTTTCCCGTCGTCCGTATGGCAGCAAAATGCGAGCTGTTCGTCAGCGTCCTGAACAATACGGGGCAATGAAACTCGCCCTCCGCGTTTTTGTGCAAATTTAGTTTAAACAACGCCTTAACGTCCATGGGGCTGCCGGTGACGGGGTTGACTTTAAACTTTTTGAGAAACGGTAGAAGCGCCTGCAAATCGAATATGTTGCCGTTGTCGTCACAGTAAGGATCCTCGAAGGGTTGCAATGACAAGCAGCAATGATCGAAGGGCAAGCGTTTGAAAGCAAGATCGTCGATAACCGGACCTGCCCTTTTACCCCCATACAAAGTGGTCCACTCTGTATAGGTTAAGTACCTAAAATAACTGTAAATACAAATGTAAATTATCCTTAAACTCACATTTTATCCTTCTGATGCTGTCTTTTCCCCATTTTTATGTTTAATAGTCCAATACAAATTTGAGGTTAACACGAAAATAAAAAACAAATCAGCGTTACCAACCCACTTATAAATACCCTGCCGGGTGCTACCGCGACTTTCAAATTCACGCTAAATTTGCATTCGCTCATCCCTCCAGAACGTTCACTTTAAAATAAATCCTGCGTAATTTCGTTTTTCAGTAAAAAGCCTTTAAAGGAACAAGAACGTTTCGTAAAAAACTCACGCCGCAGAGGGTGTTATTAAAAGTTGCCACCCCTGTCAGTCACTTGCATGCATACGCCATGAACATTTCAATGTTCTGAAAGAGCAGGGAGTGTGTCTTGTTTTTATAAATAAGATTATCGCCAATTCCCTGGTAAGTGCCTCAAAAGCTGCTTATTTACTTTGAACACATGTAGAATAAGTAGATCGTCGTAATTTCGGTTTTTCGAAGGTACTTTATTAAAAATGTGTGCAGGGAGACGTCGTCAAATTACTTTCGAGAAATTGACAAATGAATCACAAATTATTGTTATTGTTGCATGTCGCGGGTGTATTGGGAATGCCAAAACGCTCGTAGAGGATCTGAAAGCGGTTTTTATAAATTTTTTCCCGTAATTTGTGATTTACTCAACATGGCCGACCGTGTATTGTAGGGAATCAATTTTGCTTTTGGAGCAGGTTTAGGTTACAAAAACAATGGATGAACCTGTCGGTTTTTTGTTATTTACCGCTGTAATTCGTCCCCTGCTCGACTGCACTATTAATTGCCTCAGAATAGCAATCATTGAACAACAAAGAATTTTTTACAGTATTATGTCAACTGCAGGATCCAGTGGATCGGGAAGAGGCCGCGGAGGTCAATCAATTGGCGATCAAGCTAAAGAGGCGAAAGAATCAAAACCGAATCCAAAGATGTCGAAGGCCTTAGGCACGTCCGCTAAACGTATACAAAAAGAATTAGCCGAAATTACGTTAGATCCGCCGCCGAATTGCAGTGCAGGTCCTAAAGGCGAAAACTTCTACGAATGGGTCTCGACGATATTAGGACCGCCGGGGTCCGTTTATGAGGGCGGGGTTTTCTTTTTGGATATTCACTTTACCCCCGAGTATCCGTTTAAGCCACCAAAGGTTACCTTTCGCACTAGAATTTACCACTGCAACATTAACAGTCAGGGTGTGATTTGTTTGGATATACTTAAAGATAATTGGTCGCCGGCGCTTACCATTTCAAAGGTACTGCTGTCAATTTGTTCGTTACTTACAGATTGTAATCCAGGTAAGTTGTTTGAAGGGTTAAATGTCAATTACTTATTGTGTTAATGTGTGTAGCCGATCCGCTGGTTGGCAGCATCGCTACACAATATCTTCAAAATCGGGAAGAACATGATCGTATTGCCAGGCTGTGGACCAAGCGTTATGCAACGTGATTGACTCGTGCGAAAACGATATTATCCGTGTTAACTCCTTTTGCCCTTCTGGCACAATTTGGCCCTTTCATCTCAACGTTTCATCATCATTGATTTCATTTGTCTACCAATAAATGTTATTATTTCGATTTACTTTCTTTTTAGTTAGCTTAGATTGATATAAGTTTGTGTATAGATATAACCGCCCGTGGTATAAGATTTATTGAACAGTTGCAACGTATTAAAAATAAGTTTGTGATTTTGTCTGATAATTGTAGTATAATTTGACAAATTCTTAGTTGAGACTATAACTCGCAGAGGCCAAATGTATGTGGTATTTTACTTTACGTATTTGTAACACTGAAAATTATGTACTGAATATTAAGTAATAAATTTTGTGTTCAGTAGGCACTAAGTATACGTTCCTGCTTGTTATATTTAATTTCGGTTGTACTAGACAATAAAGTTTTTTTCTATTTATTTCCACTACATTACTAATGTTAATCACTTTACTCTTTATTATCGTCATTTGTCTACTCTCAACACAAAATTTTGTGAACTTCTGCAAATAGGTTCCTGCAATGTGCAATTAAAACAGGAGTAGTTTGCTTGTGCAAAGTGAATTAATTAGTTCTTGTCTTGGTGGAAATAAGGAGTGGGTGTTGTCATCGGCTTGTGTATAATTTTTTTTCTACATTTCAAAAATGAGAATATGGACTATTCTTCTAGACTTATGTATTTTAGTTGTAATTGTAACAATAAAATTTTAGTATGTAATCGTAAAGTGTCTTTCATTGTACTACATGTTTGAAGTTAAAAAGCACCTACAAATGACTGTTCATAGGGTGGAAATCTGGCGCTTAGCTAAGAGAAATTTTATGGATTAAGGCACTATTTTGGTGTATAAAAGAGCTTGGAATTGACAAGTGTCAATTCAATATGTACATTTATGTAGTATTATAAGGTGGTAAGCACACACTAATCAGTTTATGTCCAGTATTTTCTTGGTACCCAAGCCACACGGCACTAATATTTTACTTATTTAAATAATACCCAATCTTTCAAAAGGTAAAAACTTTTTGAAGAATATTTAAAGAATCTTTGAAACTGATACAGGGTCTTCTGAACAATCTTTCACGAATTAAATAAATCACTTCATAGAGATAAGTACTGTAAATTTTGTGATATTTCTCTAAAAACCTCTAAATGTAATTTTAGAAGCTTTTGTAAGTCTCTGAAAAGGGTCCGTGAAGTTAGCAGAACATTGATGGCTCAAATGTCGAGACTAGGTGGATTGGTTAGTGCTTCGTTTGTACCGTAAAAAGTTTTGCAGCAAAACATACCACCCCTCTGAAAATGCTATATAACAGAAATTTGAGATATAAACTGTGTCTAATATAAGGATGTCTTATGGGGATCTCCAGGAACCTCTTGGTCATTGTGGAGCACCTAATCCACTAGCCCATTATTCATTCTTACTATAGAGAATATCTGCAAAATCACGCAAGCATCTCTAAAGGTACAGAGAACTTTTAAAAATTCCATAGAAATAACAAATGAATGTAGAATCTCTGACAAACTTAGAGACATCTCTATCACAAAATAAAAATGTTGTAAAGAATGTTTCCAGCATTTGAAGATTTTCTGAAACAGTTAAATATGAATAGAATTCCATTAATATTTGGGATCCTTTAATACTTTTTGAAGAATCTTTAAAGATATTTGAAAGTATAACGTAATGGTCTACACTTTTAAATACAACACAACATACAATTTTAAAATTTCATTCTCTGATGCAACAAGGTGTACAGGATTAAGAAACAGCAGTGTTACTGGTAAACAATATGCTAAAGCTCTACGATTTTAGTTGTACAACATAGACCTTTATTATATAAGTATAGTAGATATAATCTTATAACATTTATATACTTCATATTCATTGTGTATGTAACATCAAGGTGAACTTAACCAGCATGTGTAACTTAAGAATAAAAAAGACATATTCGAAAATTGCCAATTTCAGTAAAGGGTACAAATAGAAATTTAGTTGCATTACAAATACAAAACTATCTACTAAAAATACACGAGTTGCCTCCAAACAATCAAGGCTTAAACACAACATTGTTCATAGCTGCCTGATTAACAGTAATATCCTCACATTTAAAAAAAGAGGAAAAACGACACTATTTAAATAACTGATCCCTGATCGTTATCTTTGGTGTTTAAACAATACTGTAGGTCTACACGTAAAGTATCTAATAAAAAATAAGCGATTCGTTTAAGACACCACATTTTGAGTATAGCCCTTTATCCGCTATTACTAATAGCAGTCTTAAATTTTCTTAGCTATTACGATTATTATTAGTCTGGCATAAAGTAAACGCTACAAAACTTATGACTAAATAATTACTTTTTTTATGTAAATGTATAAAAAGTGCCACGTTCTATTGTTATATTATAAAAAATTACACGTGCTGCTATTTGAACACACTATATAAACATTTGAGATTCAGTATTAAGACAACATTTTTGTAAACAGTTAATACAAATATGAAAATATGTAGAAAAATTATTATTGACTTAAGATTGTTCCTCCTTTTGTTTGTATGCAATCATAGCAGAATTTGGCAATTTGAACTATGTGCAACGCTATAGGTTTTATTTTATATACAGGGCGACAGCCGATCAGTTTTAAAAAGCAAAGGACGTACTATTTGTACACATTCTCATACGAAATTTTGTTTAAAATATGCCGTTCTACAATCTAGCAACAATGAGATTTTTCAAGTTTGAGAGAGCGCTTTGATTTTGAAGAGTCAATTAGGTATTCCACAAGAGCACATCGCTCGAATTCGAATTGAAAACCTAATTGTGTGTTTCTTAATCATTAGCTGCCAACAACTAAAATGGCGCATACTTATACAGTTATTAATAACATATAACTAACTAAAGGTGAAAAGTGGCGTATAAAAATCTGTTAATATCATAACATTATCAGTCATATAATAGAAACAATATACTCAAGCGGTGCTATAATCATTAACCTTAAAGTTTAAAATACGAAAAATCAGATCCATGAGTAAAGGCAATTGTGTACTACAAATACAGTTAATTTTCAAACATCAACGCACGAACGAAGTAAACTTACATAACTAAATATTGAATTGCGCGCTACACTACTATTTCAGGTATATAAATAACACAGTGTAGGTGGGTTATAATACTAAATACATAAACATTGTGGACAGATTAAAATGCAAAACATTTAGGTACCGAGTGCGCTTAATAAGAATCTGTCCTTTATACTGTCTCGTACTCCTTGCGAATTGAACGTGCCAAACAGCATGCGAAAACGACGCCGATCAACTGAAAAAGAACTGGTGCCAATTCAACGATTTACAAGTATCCGGTTACCTGTATCAAAGCAATGCCGACGCCGACGCCACCGATAACAGAACCATATTTAATGAGCGCCTCCTTTAGTTCATCTCTGCACGATTTGGTATACTTGTCCTCGGTATTGATCGTGCAAATGCCTTCCTGTGTTATATTCGGGCAGCAAGTGTGGGGTAAAGAGTCGTTAGTCGTGATCGCTTGCCAATCTTGAGGTCCGAGCATTCCGCAGCAAGTTAACTGAAATTATTAAAAATGTGTGTAATTGGCACAGGACATCAAATGAGTAAAGAGGAAATTCTAGAATACAAAATACCACAAAGATAGGGAAAGTCCTTATTAATCATTTGTTTTTGGCTGTTAGTAACAATGTAAAAAATGCCCTCATCAAAAACCACAACTATGACACACATATACACTGACAATATTTGTGTATATCGGTGACTATGATGACTATTAATTTTCTAAACTTTCAAAAAAATACTAAGATTTGACTTTGTTTAGAACATGTAGAGACGTTTTCACATGATGCAAGACGTAATCTCACAAATGTTCAGTGATCATGTGCATTTTGATAAAAGTGGTGTCAAAATCGTTATTTGCCTCCTCTATTTTTATGTGCATGTTGCATTATCTTACTACCTTTTCCTGGGTTTTCCGTTTTTTAATTGTGTGTTCTGTAATTGGGCGCATGCCTGTTGAGGGCCCAAAACAAGAGAGGGAATAAATAAATAAATAAATAAATAAATTGGTTAACCTAAACCTAAGTTACAATAAACTCCCTAAAGAGATGTTCCCCCACACCTCATATTTTATGAGCTAGCTGCTAGAGCATCAAAATGATGTAAAATTCGATGCATGTATTTTTTATGCATGTTTTGTTTGGTATAATTTAGGAAAAAATCATTTTTCTGCTTAACCATGTATCTTACGCCCTCTAGCGATTTCTCTTAGCCATGTTTGTTAACAAAATCCCAACCCCGTACAATTAACGGTTCCATAGATGATGATAATAATAATAATAATTCGTCCAAAAGATCATAAAATACTATATAAGACAAGTCATACAACTATAATTAGGATACTTGCAACATAAATTCGTCCACAGAGTAATAAGAATTTTTTCAGCTTTACTTTAATAAAGGTATTTAAATCGGATATGGTTTTCATATCTGACCTAAGCATATTGTACATTAAAGCACCGGCATACACTGGGTTTTTATATACACCTCGAGATTATGTTTTTTATACTGTAGCGAGCACTATACTGAGAGGCATTTTGTGTGATGATTAAGGTACTATTTACAAACACTAATATTTCATACATAGGTATACAAACAAGGAAATGTGAGACTGTAACTAAAAAAACGCATTTCAAAATTTTGAAAAATCTTTAAAATTTAAAAATAAATATCTCCATAAATAAGAAAGTTGATATTGCGCATGCGCACATGTGATTTTCACAATATGCGATATGCTTGTCTTTACTAGAAGCATCTATGGTTAAAATTTCAAAAAAATATCTATAAATAAGAACATATATATAATCCATTATAAGACTGATATAAATTTATTGTTAATTAATTGTAAATAAATAAATGTCACCAGATTTACTTATCGTCACTGTTAAAGTGATACCTTACCTATTCGTACTCTTAGAATAAAACTGAGGCCAGGTGTCCATCGGACAGGAGCGACCAAGATTTGATCGAGCGTGTGCTGTTCTATTGAAGCTCTATTTTTGTCGTGGCCGATCGCCACATTGCAAACTTCTTATTTTGTGAGTCATTTTTTCTTGTCTAACAAATGCATACTCGAGTGCATACTTGAATGTTAAACCATATAATGAAATATGATTAATTTTAATCAGCGATTGCCTAATAAAGTGTAGAATTGCAAGATAGTAAAAAATTAAGCATGTAGGCAGTTTATTCTTTTACGAAACTGATTGAGAAAAAAACATCAGGTAAATTGATGAAGTATTCCTTTTGAAACCAATTTTTTTTAAATAAGTGAAAAGCAGATGGATATTCTCATGCTAGCTACAACCTTGTACTTTTATAACAGAAACAGATAATCCATTAAGGAAATTAGAATGTAAGTAAACAGAATGTAGATTATTTATTTAAATGCCACAATCTGGTCAGTATTTCAACATTTTCTTATCTATGTAGCTTACATCCATTACGTTATGGTTAATGAACCCATAAAACATAATAGCTTGACCAGACACTCATTACTCATTAGGTTTGCAGATCAATATATAAAACTTTTGATTTTATTTGTGTAATAAGGTACAACCACCATGTGGATAAATAAACAAACATGAAGAGCACTTTCAACTTAAAGCAATGACCGGATTATGATGACAAACTCCAAGAATAATGATGAGTCAATTTGCATTAGAACTAAAATAACCACAAAAAGTTTTTCCTAACTATTTCCTGATGTAGTTACTTACAAGTGCTTTAAATAGAAACCTAATAACAGAGTCGATCCACTTTAAATATACCTGCAGTAGCTTTTCCCACAATTATAATTAATCAAACAAATCTACTACTGCAATACACAATTTGTGGAAGAACAAAAAAGGCCTTGAATTGAATTATTAAAGGAAGCAGGGAATAGGAACACATGTAGTACATCAGAAGGAAATCAATAAAGTTGCTAATTTGAAAATTAGGAACTCACCTCGTGCTGCATGATATCCCAAGAGCGTTTATCGTCAGTCTTGTTGTAATAATTATGCATGGTCGTGTTCAGGTGTGTATCGAGCATACTTTCGATATCCTTGCGACGAATGTAGCCCGCTATTCCGGCAGCCATTTCCAGACAGAATATTATCACGAGAAAGGCAGAAAACTGCGACAAAATCATCTAGTTAACTTAAAAGACCTCCACCCCCTTACCGTGATAATCATGCAGTGATTTTCCTTGACCGCGCCGCAACATCCGAAGAAGGCAACGACGAATACAATAACTCCGACGATTATTAGTAGTATGGGTGCGGATCCGAGACTCGGATCGACAAATTGTGAGTAATGGTAGTACAGAGCGTGTATGACTGCACCTACAGTCAGGATTGCTATTCCCGACACCTGCAAGTTTAGTGTGAATATTTAAATGGGGACGACCTAAGTAAGTACGAACCGCAAACAACAGGTTGAAGCAGAATAGTAAATATTTAATACAGGTCATTCCTGCTGACACCATTTTGAGTGGAATTTAATTAAATGCACAGTTCACAAAAAATACCACTTATGAGAATCTGTATTGGCTTTTATTAACTACGTTAACTATCACTTAAAGCTGCCTGAACATACGCTATTAAACACAATCGCGTTGGGTAAATGGCTTCCAGTTCGATTAGAAATATCACCTTTTATTTCATTCCCCCACCAACCAAACACTTGCAGATGTGTTGCACATTGACTCCCTCGGTACTGCGCAAACGCAAGCGCGCTAAATTTGAATTTGCTTTAACGCACTAATTAATAAAGCCTTCGGTCACTGTGAATTCCAGTTAATAGTTTTTAGAGAGGATAGAGGATGTAACACCAGGGAATCTAGGGGGTATGGAATACCCTCCAGTTATCTCCAGCGTACGAAAACGTTATGATGATAGATGTAGAAAGTCGAGTAGGAAAATCTTTCCAGTATTCCATATCTCCCAGACCCCCCCCCCGCCGGTTCTACATTCTCTCCTAAAATATTTGGCAGATGTACTAATGCTACTATTACTTTAGCTTTATCCTGTATGTCACAGCTAGGGTTGCCATCCGTCCGGGTTTCCCCAGATTTGTCCTAGTTCAGGAGGCGTCCGGGTGGGGTTTCATTGGTAATCCGGGTTTTAAGCTACTGAGGCATCTATGAGTTTCTGTCAAAATGTAAGCCAACAAAACTTTTAAGCGCCAATCAGCTTTGGTTGCAATTTTTTAAAACACCGAATCCTCATTTATACTTGAGTTATTGAAAATTGCCTAGTGCTTTTTTGCATTCCTGCTCATAATGACCCCACTGGACCTAGCCTCCCCAAGTAAATCTCAACTACTATAATTAATAATTCAGTAGATCTTCGGGCTGGTACCTAATCACGGCATTTTATTTTTCTGCCGCGCTGTGTTTAATATTTTATTTGTTACTCAGATGTAAACGTTGATTAACAAGACAAAACGCAAACGGGTAAACGTCATGTTTAAACGCTACTGACTTGTAAAACTGACAGCAGACTTGTAAAACTGACAGCAGACTTGTAAAACTGACAGCAGACCTGTAAAAATTTTACAAGTTAGTAATCTAGTAATTTCATTGGCCAGAATTAATGCGAAGTCTCTGTTACATGGATCACATGATATTTTAGACATTTCTTCAAGATCAATTTAAGAACTAATTATTTACGTTTACAAATGAGTAACAAATAAAATATTGTACATTATACGCCAGGTAATAGTTTTTACTGGCTCTAGGAGATGACAGGCTCGCCTAACGGCTCGCCAGTCAACTTCTCCTATCGCCAGTAAAAACTCACTTACCTGGCTAATAATGTAAAATACTATTTTTAAACGCATTATTTATTAAACTGTTCCAAGGAATACGTAGTGGCTTTTTAATTATATTTTTTTGTAGGCGATATCGGCGCTAGTTCAAAGTTCATGGTCATTTGAACAATTTTTTGGTAAATAAAATTCTAGATTTTTTACCGTAATTCGATTTTTTGTCCGTAAGGATGCATTTTTTGTTTCAGAAAATGAATGGCCATCTTTTATTTATGCGAAAATGATACCACACTTGCCCTAGTAGTTATAATTTAGCAGTTATGACGACCAACAGCGCGCGCAGCGTAAGAAAAGTTTACCCCTCCCTCACAGCAGCGTGTCTCTCGCTGCCTCCCGGGCGATTTCCATTCGGGTCCACCTAAGTAGAAAGTGTACCAAATCTGGTGCTTTAATGACAAAAATATTGGTGTTGGCGTCCACCCCACTATGCATAAAAATTAATTTGAAATAAGTAAACGATAACAGAGGAGGGGCTACGTCCAAGTGGAACTGGCCGCCCCATCGATTATATCTATTTGCCCTTTTAAGGGTGGCGCTCAAAAATCGAAATTACTTGTAAATGAAAGCTCTTAAATAGCTCGTAATTCCAGTACAAATTTAATTTGAACAAAGTAATTCTTATCAGTGGGGGGGCTGAGTCCAAGTAGACTCGGCCACCCCATAAGAAATGTTCGATTCCTAGTGATTAAAGCGAGCTCTAAAATTTTAAGCTTGCGATATGAAAAGCTCCTAAATAGCTCATAAATTGGATACCATTCTTAAATTGATTCACAATGTGGGGGGGCTAGGTCCAGCGGGGTCTCATAATGCCAACGTTGAAAGAAAATGTTCACTAGTGACATAACAGTGGACCAAAGAAAGGAATGTATTGAATATTGAAACATTCTAGTCAGTGGTAAAAATAAAGTACAATTTCAAAGACTATTTCTTTAGACAATATTTTTTTATCAAATTCAGATATGTCCGGGTTTATAATCCCTAAATCCGGGGTTTTCACACTTCCTGTCCTAGTTGGCAGAGTTTTGAGATGGCAACCCTAGTCACACCTTAACTGTATAGTCAAGATATCACCAGCAAAATAGCTTTAAGGTGGCTAGGAACACAAATACCTAAGTACATGTTCTAGGTTTTTCTTGTCGTATATCAAGACGCCCCCCGTTCTGCATTCTCCCCATAACGTTCAAGAAAGGACCACGAACCATAACACCGCAAGTCTGTGGGGTAGGGAAAGGAAGGCTTGATGGTCTTTGATAAAAAATTGTCATATGGGTGCCTTTAGGGCTGAATGTTTTTAAACATACAGCTTGCTCAAAATAGTAAATTCAATATATAAAATGCATGAAGAGCTTTATGGTTTTATAAAGATTTTTTCTACATTTATTAATATAAAATATTTAAATCCCATCGTAGTGACCTCTAGTATTTTTTCAATTAGTCTAAGAGACCACTTTTATGTGAGCGCTGTTCGTCATTGATTGAATTTCAGCTTCTACATCCTTAACCAGAATCGGCAATAAAAAAGCTGGTATATGGGGATTGCCATGACAATAAGTTAATAAACAAATGACATACACTATTTGCCGTTATCACAAGCACAATTTCTACTTTCGTCTCTAAAAAGAATGCAGAAAATGTGATTTTTCCTCTCTAGTGAGGAAAGTAAAAAACAATTTCCACATTAATCTTAATAATGACGATTAAAATTGAAACATATCTATCCGTATCAAAAAAAAACTTCATTATTGCATAAGTACAATAATTTTCAATTTTGATTGTATGTAGTTTCACACAAAATTACGTGTAAAACTTGAGAAGACCTCTCCATTTTCTTCTCTAGTTGTACAAATAAATATTTTCTAATACAAGAACTAAAATATTCACTTTTCCACATCAGAAATCAATGTAATTCCATACAAAACATATATTAATATAACCAAAGAGTTAATACAAGTCTTGTCTTGTTATGTACAACCTTTTAACGTTAATTCTCTTTCTTTACGTTCATTTTTAACCGTATGGGAGTTCTACACCAACAGATCAATTTAATACATTCAACTTAAAGGAGTTTGCAAAATGATTTAGGCACAAAACGATGCATAAATTACTTTTATTTTGTATTCAAAGTACCTATACCAAGCCATTATTGAAGTATACAAAAAAATCACAAACTTATTTACAGTCCTTTGCATAATTTTTATTTGAATAAATCACACAACGCGTTAATGTGATTTATGGTATATTTCTATAAAATTTGTTTATTGCTTTGCGTCTGTATAAAAGGTTAGTTTTGAAAACATCGAAATCAATAAACAAATATAATGGAATTCACAACCAAGTAATGGCTTACAATTATTTCTTTTCTATAACAGATATATACAATACAAAACATTAATAAGATATTACAATTGGAAAAATTACAAAAGTCTCCTACGAATGAAGGTTCAAATTCTTAACCTGAGATAATCTATACGAGTATTTACATTTTAAAACAATGTTAACAATAAATAATAAACAGTTTAAAAATGATATTTATAACAGAGGACAGTTTTGATTGATAAAAAAAACGTTTATTTATTTTACGGTTGGGATGGCGGTTAGTTCTCAGCAGCAAGCAAAAATTATTTTGATATTACATAATGAACATAGTTCTCCTCGTCCTTTTTGCCTTGTACATTTGAGCGGTATTTAAATCTATTTCATCATTTCAATATCAGAGTTCTTTAAGTAGAGTCGATTTGGCATTTTTTAATTTATCTAAGCGTTTCAGCAAGTGGGTGTTTGCCGTTTCCAATTCTTCGGCTCGATTTTGCGCTTCTCGTGCCTGCAAAAATTTTTAAAGTTATCTTTCGCATTTAAAAATATTAACTGATTCATGCAAAACGTGTACCTACTTTTGGAATTGGGACCAACACATATTTTTCTATACTACACCATTTTAATTGGGTCTTAAAATCAACTATAAAGGTGCTGTAAAGAAATACAGAAGACCACCCTGTATGGTATGGATTTTAGCACAGTGGGGAAATGTGTTTAGTAGATAATATAACTATTAATTAATTGTTAGTAACATTATTTAAAACACTTCAGAGCAAAGTCATGCAACTACCGTTACTAAGCGTCAATAGATTCATCGCTGTATTCATCTGAAGATTGGTTTATAGATTCCTGAAAGTACATATACCTTAATAGGCATGCTGCTAGGCATAGAAAAACTCATAATGAAAGCATCCCTTAATATATGAACCTTTAATTACAATCAATACGACAGATTTACAAAAATTTAATAGTTCACCTCTCTTTGCAACTTTCTCTTCTCCTGTTTTAACGCCTCCTCCGATTTCTCGTAGATCTCCGACGCCGATTTATACCTTATCACTTGACTTTCTAGTCTAGCCACGGTAGCCTGCAAAGTGGCGACGTCCTGCTCCGCTTTCTGCGCCCTGAACTTGTAATCGGCCAGCTGTCTTCCAACATCTCCTAATTCGACTACATTAATTACCCGACACAAAAGTTAACAGTTACTTACTTTGACTGTCATCCGGATCGTATTCTGAATCGGAGATCGGGCCGTTTAGTGTTACTCCGCTCGTCTTCCGTCTTCTATTTCGCTCTTCCTCTAGCTCTAACCTTAAGTGACTGATTTGATCTTGTAGATCCTTTTTCTCTAACGCAAACCTCGCTAATCGAACATCTAAGTTAAAATAAATCTTTATTAGTGAATACTGCACTGCTCGGTGAATGTGTGAATCAATCAGAGACAAAGTAAGGATTACGCTAAACTCCTACATTTAGTATGGGCATGATGCTGATATTTTAGTCACATTGTGGGTGGTAGCGACTAGACCTAGTGAAAACTGAACGAGCAAAATCTTTGAAGTTCAAAACAAGTTTTTAGGAGACCTCTCTGGAAAAAATTAGACTTTTTGATAGAAGCTTTTGGCACAAAACTTAAAAACATACCAATCCCCCAAGGGTCCCAAAGGATAAGAAGGAAGTTAGTGTCATACCAGAAAATTGTAAATTTCCAAAAACTTTGTAATGGAACTGTAAATTTAACTTCTTTGTCTTTGATGAGCACTTTTGGAATGTACAATGTTTTGTTACCTTATGGTTAAGACATTCATACCTTAGATAAATATGTATAGTATTGTATTGCTCTCCAGGTGGGGAGTACCGATGATTGTATTTAAATTTTACCGCTCTTTTAATGTGAACTACATTATCGACGAAGCATCAAAAAGCTTGTCGTGCGCAAAAACGCGGCGTCATTTTTCTCATATACATTTTGATAGTTTATGAATTTCTGCCAACCGTAAAGTGTAAATACGGTAGACATATTTTTAATTATAACCCAATAAATGGATTTTATTTAACGATTACTGCTCTGTTTTAAAGTTAAGTAATCAGTGTTTCCATATAAAAGGGTCGATATGCTTATTTAATTCGCGCAAGGTCAGTATAAACCTGTAAAGAAGGACCTATTTAAAAGTGATACTTAATGTATGGGGCGATAGGGGTCAATATCCTCGACAGTAAAACAGTCAAATCCTGCAGGTTGAATTTCCCGCTCAAAGTTGACATCACACCAATAGACACTGTGCAGGGTGGCCAACTAAGAATGCGAGGTCTGAGAATCTATCCATCGTAGAGGCTTGCGGTAAAAAAATTTATTACTAAAACGGCCACGAGCAAAACCTGGAAAATATTTTTAAGTTTCTGAAATGGCCGCTAGGGGGCGTAACTGCAATCTGGAATCTAAAGTCACTAAATATAGAAAGTACCGCAATCCATTGGGCTCGTGTGTTAGAAAGAGAACGCATGATTTTTGCCCAAAAATGGCGGAAGTTACCAGATTCTAGTAACTTTAATGTTAGGGATTGTTCCACCTGTTTGGAGATATATGTATATATTTTTATAAAACATAACAGTACTATGAAGTTAGGTTATAAAAAATTACAGCTATTCAGATTTTATTTGTCAATTTTTTTAAGTTGGCAGCAAATTTGCCCAAAAATGGCGGATGATTGCGGTACTTTCTATATCTAGTGACTTTACTGGAATCTAAAAAAGTGATGTTTCTATGAATTCCGCTATATTAACCTAACAAAAAAATGTCCGGTCTTTGAAGTTGACGATAATCTGAACAATTTTTGTTTGACAATTTTTCCTGTATCTCTAAAAATGAAGTGGTGGGGGGTATTCAAAGGTTTCCATAAAGAATACCCTGTATCTTCGAAACGGCTGATTCGATTTAAACAAACTCGGGTTAGTTCAAAAGAGCTATTCTTCAGCTACAACTATTATACTATTTGAAGTTTTGTTTGTTTCACATATCACCGCTGGAGGGCTTTTTTCGACATTCCAACAGAAATGGTTCATTTTCTCAAAAAAATTAAATGCATTGGTTAGATTTTTTTTTCATGAAAAAGTTGCTAAATGATGCCTAAACAAGTTCGCGAAAACAGCATCTCGATATCTTGAGATTTATATCGTGATGGCCAGCATTTCAAGCATTTACGGCGACATTAAAAGCTTCCTTTTTTAAATCGATCCACCTTAGGGCAACAAAGTATATAAGAAAAATCATTTCGGAAAAATTAGCTTAAAAAAATATAATTTTGAGGGTATACACTTTTCTTTGGCCTAAATTTTAGGTTAGGAACAAGATATCGAGATGCGGTTTTCGCGAGCTTGTTTATGCATCATTTAGCTACTTTTTCATGGAAAAAAAATCAAACCAACCCATATAATTTTTTTGAGAAAATTAACCATTTCTGTCGCAATGTCGAAAAAAGCCCTCAAGCGACGATATGTGAAACTAACAAAACTTCAAATATTATAATATTTGTAGCTGAAGAATAACTCTTTTCAATTAACTGGAGTTTGTTAAAATCGGCTCAGTCGTTTCGAAGATACAGGGTGTTCTTTGCGGAAACCTTCGAATACCCCCCCCCAACTTCATTTTTAGAGATACAGGAAAAATTGTCAAACAAAAAAGGTTCAGATTTTCGTCAACATCAAAGACCGGACATTTTTTTGTTAGGTTAATATGGCGGAATTCACAGAAAAATCACTTTAGATTCCAGATTGCAGTTACGCCCCCTAGCGGCCATTGCAGAAACTCCAAAATTTTTTCCAGGTTTTTCTCGTGGCCGTTTTAGTAATAAATTTTTTTACCGCAAGCCTCTACGATGGGTAGGTTCCCAGATACAGTACCTCGCATTCTTATTTGGCCACCCTGTACAATGAACTTGAAACCTGAATACCCTATTACCAACATAATGAATGAAAATTTGGGCATAGAATCCATCAGATTAGACATTGTATTGAGCAAAAAATGCCCACCCACCAACCAGCAGATTTTATTTTTGGCAAACAATAATTATTAAAAACAACATACTAACCTAAGCTACCTTCTCCCGCATTCTCTAATAATTGTGCATTTTCCGCAGTAACCAAGGTTTTTCTCGGCGTACTACAGATTCCATTAACAGTAACATCTTCCCTACTATCATCGTCATAGGAAGGAACATCTTCTACCACTATCACTAAGCCTTTTTCTGCGATTAAACGATCACGTTCCTCCAACTCTGCACAGGTCACAGCCAAATCATCCTTAAGTCGGGCCTCTAACCTTTTCAATTGATCGTGCTCCCTACATTTATCCCTGTGCTCTCGTCGAAGTTGCGAAAACTCCTCCTCTAATTCCTCTAACCTGAACACGGTCATAAACACGAGTTTCTACACCGTAATACTCATCTTACCTATCTTTGAGAAGTTCTAACTGATATGTCTGTGACGCCTTATCGTTGTCCAGTTGAGCATTGGCGATCATGGCCTTACGAAACTTCTCCTCCATCTCCTTAAGTTCGTGCTGAAAGCGCGCAATAAACGTAAGCTCGCATAAACCGCATACAATACCCGTATTTCTCTAATGCTGCCCCCATCCTCGAGCGAGTCCTCCGAACTTCGCCTGCTGGAAAGGAAACGACTCCCGCTCGTTCTGGTAGTTCGATGTGTCGCCTCTATCATGTCGTACTGTCGGTCGGCATTTTCCTCCTGCTCCTTTTGCTGTCGCTCCAATTCTCGCATACGAATGTCTCTCGCTTCCGCACGAGCCTGCCGTCTTGCCAAAAGTCGTGCTTCCGCCTACAATTAAAAGAGAGTAATTATACCTGGGTCGGTTACAACACAAAACGTACATCGTCATTGCAATGGTTCAGAAACTGATTAATAATGTTATTGGATGCATCCTGATTAAGGATTAATGGCTCATTTCCTTCTGTCTTTGTCTGCCCAGGTTCTGAAATGACTTTGTTTTCATTCAAGTCTGTGTGGTCCTCGTCGTCGTCAGAGTTTAAGTTATTTAAAATATCCGCCAGAGAGTCCACACTTTCGGACGAAATGGAATGTTTCAAGTCTGTGTCACTCATCTTATCACAAACCACACCTCAAATTAACGTTTCATTAGTTACACAAATTATTAACGTTGTTCCAGAGGTAATTGGCACAATTTTCAACACGTAGGTAGTCCTAGCAACGATAAGCGATAACCCGACTTTTCCAAGCGCACCCTGTAGAATTTATCAAAATGATAAGCGAACGTAGGTAAATAAGTCGGCGTCATTGAAATAGGATCGTTACCTATGCGTTAATTGCTACGGCAGCATTTTAAACAAAATCAGCGGCCGCACGCTTTGAAAGGATAGAAATTACATGCAGAAGGTATGTCGCTCAAACAATCGGCCGCGAAAACTGATATCGTTGTGAAACTAAATATCTTTATCCTTGGAGTGAAAGATTAGAGAATATACAGAGGTGTGATTAAACCAATAGTTATGCCAAACGCACGTATCCAAGCGGTGGCAAATTTGGTTGTGGTGGTGTTTACCAAATTTTGGATTATGCTTTCCACGCCAAAACTTCCGAATGGTCGAAAATTGCATTGTCCAGTGAAACCAAACCATCAGTCATCAGTGAATCATTACGAAACATGATCCCCTTACATATTGTAACTGATAACAACTAATTACGGAAGTCATATCGCCCAAGATAAGAATTTCCTTGCCAGGGAATGAGATTGTTGGTAGTAAAAAAACTTCCATTAAGAACCATATCCAAAATGTTCACTTTATCTTCCACTCAAAATTATTTTAGCATTTGAAGATCTGGTCTTGTTACCCAAGGGAACTGGCACTTTTACTACTTCATCTTACCAAATAGTCGTGCGAAACGCTTTCTTTAATCTGATCATGTGGGAAAAAGATTTGGACTGTTCTCGGCTTCGGTAAAGATCGGCGGGTTTAGAAGATAACATAATTTGTAATGCAAATAGTATAGTGACCCAATTAAATTCCATTGCTAATTTCCGGCATTCAATTTGTAACTTAATTGACGACGCAATATTTTTATTCTATAATAAACTTGGAACTACCATAGCAATTAAAAATATACATAATCACAACATAGATTACAACGAAAAGGAATGTATCTACGTCCTTGTCTATCTGTCTGCTTGGTCATGGTCATGGTGGCAGTAAAAAACGCAACCTCGCAGAAAGTTCGACTTTTCCGCAATTATTCAAAGCACTTTCACCGCTATTTTGTTGATGTATTATGAACAATTAAATAAGCTATCAAATGTAGACAAGTTTTTTAAGATATGTGACCAACTCTTGCACTTTGTGATTTTTTTCTGCAGTTATCTGATTTTTGGATAAGTGATGAACAAAAGCATAAAACCATTTTGCAAAATTTCTATGGCAACGATCACTTATTTACTGATATTTCACATTGGTTGCTCCATACAGTGGCGTAACTAGGTAGGTGCCAAAGGTGCCGCGGCACCGCGCTCTGAATGGGAGAGGGCGCGCCGGAGGCGCTGAAGCACCGAGGGCATTAAGTCGGGATGGGCAGTACGTGGTGTACCGTATAGGCCAGTCATAAAAGACAAGAACGGCAGTTAAATTCTAATACTTTGCTAAAATCGACTACAGGGTGCACTGAAATATAATTAAAACTAAATTTGCGCTCCATTAGGATGAACCAAACATTGTTAAAAAGTAAAAAAATTATCAAAGTCTTTGTGTGAGATGTAAGGGATTTCAGCGCATTTTGTGGGGCAGATCAGTACTTTTATTAACCACAATCAATAAGATTTTGTCGGGGGCCCCATATTCCCTTTGTCGGTACCCACCTCCGACATCCCGTTCGCCCGGAATTCGCGTTTGAAGTTTTGACTCCACCGTTAGTAAGATCTTGTCGAGAGCTACCACACTCCCTTTGTCGGTACCCGCTTCCGACGCCCCCACAGACGGCGGATGTATACACAGTTTGAATCAAAACACTTGTACCACGCTATCTTAAGTGCCTCAATATGAATGGCGACTGTGTTGAAAAATAGCCTAAGAGTGTAGCTTCCAAATGTATACAGGGTGGTGACTTGCGTCGCGCATCATAGGGATTTCAATGTAAAATTCATAACATGCCATTATTGGCTCCCCAAATTATTTTAGAGCAAAAATGTATTAAGGTTTTTTATAGACAAAAATTTTTTACGACAATCAACCGTGTTAGTTTCCAATTTTTTACATAATGAAGACAAAAAATTGGAAACATAAAACCTGCATCTTTTTCAATAATCTGTGATGCCATGGAATTTTATAATACAAAACTACGCCAATATCCGTCATGCCATGGAATGTCTGCTATAAAACAAATCAAATTCTATCAAAAAGTATTATATTTAGAACAGCGAATTCAACATAAAGAAAGACCAAATTACTAAAAACGGTTTGCTAATACAACAATTGACAGTAAATGTTCGAATAAGTCACCATTAACTGCAACACAGTAACCAAGTCGATCATAAAATCCAGCTGCTAATTGACAACTTGACATCTTTTTGTTTTAGAAAATTCCATGGCATCGCAGATTATCATTTTCTCAACTTTCTGTCTTTACTATGTAAAAAATTGAAAACTAATACGGTTTATTGACGTAAAAAATTTTTTTCTACAAAAAACCTTCATACATTTTTGCTCTAAAATAATTTGGGGAGCCAATAATCGCATGTTATGAATTTTACATTGAAATCCCTATGATGCGTGACGCAAGTCACCACCCTGTATAATAAAGGTTGTTTAATACACTTTCTTAATTTTTTATTTCAAAACGTCTGTTACTTTCTGGATGGCCCTTGTAGTACAAAGTTACAGCGGTAGGAAAAGGCTGCAGATTTAAAATAATAATAATAATAATACTTTATTTGTGATCTATACAATAGTCTGTATTAGTGTAACCAGCATTTGCACGCAATCATTTCTACGACTTGTGCCCCATGCCATAGTTAAATTTGATTTTGACGCCAGAATTGGAAACACAATAAATAAATGTATTTCTATTCTTCATTCAGTGAAAGATTTCGTTATTCAAAGCATCTTTCTAAAATTTAAGTATGCAAAATTTGTGTGTAAATTCAAAAGGGTGCAGTGCTGTTAAAATTTCGTGTAAAGTTTCTCTCAAAAATGTACCGTGTTTTATTAATTAGAGCGCAATGGTAACTGATTAGGCTGGTAGGGCGCCAAAACCTGATCCGGCACCGCTTCGAAAAATACCTACTTACGCCACTGGCTCCATATTGCTCATAGGTCACACATCTAATGTAACAAGGGACCCGTTTCCTACCTTGAATTTTGTACGAGCAAAACACTTAACGAAAACGTCAAAATTTAATCGGCTATTTTTTTGTACTTGGGATATTACTGTTGATTAAAAATTAGAAATGTAAGCCACCTTTGATTATTAGGGTACGTGTTTACCATTCTAATATTTTTAATCCATGATTAACTTTAATCATCCGGGCCATTCGAGTTGCGATTATTTTAAACATCATTATGATTAACACTTAGATAATGAATAAAACATTTGTGCAAAAATTCCAGAGTTAACCTCGAGAAATTTGGTCTTTTGCACACATTACACGTGCAACCTAGTATACATATTAGCAAACCAAATTGTGCCAACGCCAATATTTCTTGAGGCTCCTTCCTAAGTCATTGCCGACTGTTTGAAGGAAACATTTTCCTAAAGTGTCGGGTTGGTCCCCATAATTTCAAGATTGATTTTGAATGAGTGCTTTCTTTGAAACCGAGTTTGAAACGTTTTGAGGGCTTTCTTGAACGCAAAGTTGTAAACTTTTATGAGATTGTGACTAACAGACTCGCTAACAGATTACCAGAAACACGGAAGCTCAAGCTATTTGCGTTGCATTCCCCTTACGCAATATTAATTTTATCCACGATGCAAAAGGCACAGAGAAGCATCTATTTTCGACCTTGGATTACCGATAAAGCAAAAAAATAATCGGTTTATTCAACGGAATACAAGATGCGCCCGCATGATTATTTAAGGAACTTCCGGTAATACTATTTTATGTGTGTTAGCATCCGGTGCGGCACATTTTTTTTCCTCGATGCTATTAGATATATTACTTACACTTTTCCTCAAATTTGGCACGCCGGACACCAGCAAAACATGCGCCGAATTTTCGTCGACGGCCAGGCAATCCGACAGCGACGGAATTTTTTTGAAATGAATTAGCAAATCGGTATGAACGATTAGTTGTTTAGTTCCCACCACCATTTTTAATTTAGTCCAGCACATTAGCATTACCGCATTTATTAAGTTACGGACGGACATCAAGGTTTCCGGCGAAAGCAAACGTTTCTAAGATAGAACTGATGCGCCCAAAGGGAAACTTGCAGTCTGAGAGTTCGTTCGCCTGAAAGTTCACAGACGTCGATAACGGCGGAGCGCCCATTCGTGAGCGCCTCCACTTTCATTTCACGACGTCGCCGTCGACGTTTAAAATTAAAGCGTCGTCGGTCACAATCAACCGGCCCGGCTCTCTACAAGAATTTATTTCTATGGGATTGCTCCAGCCAGACTTTAAAGATCCTTCGAGAAACAACAACCCTAGACTAATAGCGCGTCGCCGGCTTAAAATAACGTTAAACCAGGGGCTCTCCCAAATCAAGTTCAATTAAAATTGCTAACGTGGCAAATTATTAACTAATAAGTCAGCGAAAGGTACAAATTTAGAACATTTGTCATTTTATTTCATTCTTGGCACACCCCGCCCTCTCAACAAATTGCATACTTACTTCTTTGGCAATTAGGTCAAGAGCCTGGTCTTCGGCAGATGACTTGGCCGCAACCCTTCTTCGGCCGCCACCACCATCCATGACAACCAATGGGAGACACCGACACACACCTGGACAAGATACATTCAACAATTAAAAAATGTGAAACACAAAAGCTAATAGATTGAAAGTGTTCATCAAGATAGGCGTTTTCATCGGTCACTCGCGCGAGTGCAACGGATTTACCGCTAATTTAAATTGCGATTGCTTCAAATTCAACATCAAAAGTCGCTTTGGGCTCATATTGTTCACTCCCCAAATGATGTGTCTTCGGCTACTGTTTACTAAATGTTGGGAATCTCGCACGAATCTTTTAAATCAGATGATCGATAAAAGATGGATGGATCTGTCAATAGCCTTCGAGTTGGATGGATTTATTTCTCGTTTGTTTTCTATTGCCTTTGTACTACTAGATAATTATTGTCTTGTTACACATTACGCACTTGAACCTTGTCCCACTTTTAAGCGTGAAGTGTATCATTTCAGTTAACGGTTAGCTTAAAATTATGTACCGAGGCTATTTTTAAAACAAGTACCATTCACCTTTAACAAAAAAAAATGAAACGTTTAATTATCTACAAAAAGTAATCCGCCAAGCGTTAAATGAAGGCTAATGTGCAGCAATTACGCTCTTCATTAACTTTTAATTTTATAGCGATGCTCGCAGTTAACCAAAACGTAGTTGGTGGCTTCAAAATCACTTTCTAGCTTTTACGGCGGCCACTTAATCAATACAGGGTGTGCTGTCTCACGATATGGCGTCCCATTTATGTCATTTAAAACGGCGCCGCGTCTGCGAATATGTTTAGTCATGTAATCTGCTCGATCACACCTAATTCCTTTGTTTCCAATATTTTTTTTTACAGAGTCGCATTCTGCGAATAAGAGATTTTCGCCGAAGTTCAGATTTCTACCATTTCGGACACCCTTCACGGAATCTTGGGAGTATAGAGATACAGGTAGAGTAAAAAGATCTTCAGATACCTCTTAGATCAAAGAAGCAGTACCTAATTAATAAACTTTTTCAGGATTTTGAAGATCAGAGAAGTGAAAAAGATAGGCTTTGTTGTTGCCGGTATTATGACTTACCAAGGATTCAAGCCTCGATTCAAGCTCTACATAAAATTTTCAGAAGGTCTTCAAGGAACCTTCTGATATTTTGTGGAGAATCTTCTTCACAATCAATATGTTCTCGAAAAACCCTCTAATTCCCTCTCAAGACTGTGAATAAAGACCTTCTGGAATCTCTCTGAAGAAAGAATTTATTTTGCGGAGGAGTTCCAAGGGATTTCCAATAAGATCTTCAAAAATTATGGAGCGTTATCGGGGTTTCAACCTCTTTAACAGAGCAGGAGAAAAAATTGTTAGATTGATAAAATTTGGCCAGTGCTTCTAGAACCATTGTGGAGCTCATTCGGGATTTTTATATAGGTACGGAGTACTTTTTTGATCATATGCCACTTGTGGAAAAATAAAAGGAGACAAAGGCAGGAAAAGGTCGGTCCTACCATCTCACCCGACATTACGATGGATCTCGGGGGTTGACCTCTTAATCCCCATAAATCTAATCACATAGCTACACTTGGCACCTTCCATGGTTAACAAGGAATATGGCGTTGTTGTCAGATTTAAGTTATGTCGCTTCGCCGCGACGGTAGCTCGTTGCGAGACCTTAATTTACGGACAACCCTCGTATTTAGTATTTGAATTGGAATCGTTTTTTAAGAATTTTGTCACGTGTTTTTACCCAAAGTCTTTACTTTCCTTTTTTCCTTTCCTTTTTTGATAGTACTAAGCATTACGGAGACACTCTGAAAAGTATCAAAATTGGGACCCACTATACATCAAATATTTATGTTTCCTTGTTAGAATTTGTTTACAAGAAACACCAGCCAGGCCTTAAGTATCTGTTTCAAAAATTACATATTTTTTAAGAAAACTCATTTTTACATAAAACAACTTTACAGACGTCTCTGACATTATTAATTGTACAACAAACTTATGAACACTCGGTATAAAACAAACTTTATTGAACGCTACAACATAAAATTGTAAGTAATAAACAAGTTTATTAATTATATACCTACATAATATGTAACTATTTTCTCAAGATACATGAAATTCGTAACTTTGGTACCAGTTAGCTTCTTTGTGGTTAACCACAACACAACTGAAAACTATCTCAGGGCCATGTGAGATCATGCAAAAAGACTTCCATGAGCGTGCGAAGTTGCTCAGTCATAATCAAAACAATATGTGTTCTTCAAGCCTTAGCAGCCCCTAAATTTGTAAGCCAGCGAGGTCAATGGAGGTTTCCCTACATGCCATTTATGCGACAGATCAATTTAAATTGCGGCCACCCTGTAGATGACTGCAATCAACATGCACATTGTGTAGACCCTTACAGTTTTACGACCGCGAAATATTACCGAGAATGAATAACGTATGCTAATTCTCGGAAATTTAAATCATAAACCCCTTACGTAATCGTCCCCCAATGCGAACCCCCACCTTATAACTCTTGCAGTTAATTCTTCGTCTGCCTTATTGGATTACATTTTGTAATCTGATCCTCAAAAACAACGAAAGCTCCCAGATGTTCAATTAAATCACAACGGCCTGATTTGTCCTCTTTTTTTGTCTTCCATCTGAGTCACGTCTCTAAATATGGAGAAGCCCTAACTGAAGATGAAATGACCATAAATAATTAGTTACTCTTTAAGGAATCATTTTATAGGTTGGTGCCGTAAAAATTCTTGTTTTTACAATTGCAAATATTATGAGTCAACATTGATTGTATGACGTAATTATCGGTTTAAAACATCCTTTCATTCTTCCTCGTGGAAACATTAGAATTATTCCACTAATTTACGATAAAAATAGCCGCTTCTATTTTGAAATTAGATCTAGAGCAGTTATCTAAGTGAAAAACTGAACAATTATGAAAGTGGAGACGCTGGGGCGGTTTTGAAATATTGTAATTGGGGACGGGGTAATCGCCACGAGTACTTAAAAAATCGCTGGATTGTAAGAAAGTTACAAGAATTGATTTTGGTCAGCAGGTGTTCGTGGGTGTGCTCCGAGTGCGGGTTATTGGCGACACGCCAGGTTATACCTACCACCTTAACACTTACTTAAAATTATTGTAATTCATCCAATATCCCGTTGCATCATATTAGTCTATAACAATCCCGATTGAACTCTTTTAATTAAATTTGTCTCGAAAGACGTAAGTCCGGGGGGTGTAACAATTTATTTAAAAACACAAATCGTCATTATATCAACACAAAACAAACACTTCACTTATCAGTTTATTTTCCTAGATATTGCGGACGTTATCTTATCACAGAATGATTACGCGAAGTGTCAATTTTTTGCGAAATTTTACACATGTGTAATTTTAGTGAAGAGATTCCTTCGGTTCGCGAACAATACTGACAGTTTCAAAATTCACCAGAAAAACCCTAAAACAACATTAGCCAACCTCACGGTAAAAACATAACCACCGTCCGCCTTTTTTCTAACCTAATTTTTTTCAAACTTTTTTATATATAGAAAAAGACCCGTTCCGTAAAATGAGCAACCTGGTAAATCCCTTCCGCGCGATTTCCAGTTTTAATTCGCCGCATTTTTTCAGGCGCAAAAAATAACGCAAAGGTATCGAGAACTTGCCTGTGTACCTTTTCTATCAGATGCTAGGATCGGGAAAAACGGGGCCACTTTGAGCGCCGTGTGGTCGGAACGAAATTTAGAACGGGGGAAATTCGTGAAGTTTTCGAAAACTTACCTTCTGAACTCGGAACTACGTAAATACTTGGACTTTTCGCCTTGCGATGTTACCAGCGAGTATGTATCGTCATGGTGACTTCGGCTGATTGTTGTTGTTGCAGGAAGTTGGTGAGCATTTCGCCCTCCGAAACGTATAGGGCAATTGTTCGTGCTAGCGATGAGAAGGATGGGGCCAAGCAATTTTTTGAAATTTGGTCAGACGAACGTCTTTTGCATACAACGGATGTGTCCGAGTTGGAATTGCATGATGAGATTTACACTGAGGGTATGGTGTCATGATTTGTGTGATGACTGTTTTGCTATTTTTTCCAAAAATGATATGGGCAAATCAGGGTCAGACTGGACAGGCAGGATTCCTCTTACTAAGATCTCTATATACTTTTAAAAGCTTAGATCTTAAAGGCTCTAAAGCAATCGGACAGGTTCATTCAAGCAATTACGTGATGCTAATTACATGAATTGTGAAAATTGACACTTAGCAATCTAGATACGGGTATGTTTCAAAATGTCATTATTAAGATTGAGGAGCAATTGTTTTACTTTCCTCACTAGAGAGGAAAATCCACATTTTCTTCATCCTTTTTAAAGACGAAAGTAGTTGTTTCTAAAGTTGTTTCAGAAAAAAATATTTTGTTACCTTATCTGCGATCTTTCGATATACTATTAATTGAAAATTCTTAAGAGTTTTTCTTAGTCTTTTATTTTACCACTAAAGTTATCTAATCTTTATCCATTGAAACACATGGGAGGTACCCACCAGATAAGTCTTAGTCTGATTTGCAGGATTTTGGAAATGATAATAAATTTTTGCCTTTACAACACAAAATTCATTACTATAGCAAGACATTATATTTCCAGCAACATTAGGAGCTTTGGAATGGTCGCCTGATGAAACAAAGTTGATTTATATCGCCGAAAAAAAGGAGCCGAAAAGTGAACCATTTTACAAGAAGAAAACCACGAATTCAGATCCCTCCAAGGACGCAAACGTTACCAAAGTATGTCACATTTAATTTTACCGCAAGTTAGAACCCTCCGTTTTAGGGAGAACAATATTTGTATCGGCAAAGTTGGGGAGAACAGTACACAACACGGAAAGAGTCGGTAATCGTGCAATACGATAGAGCATGCGACAGCTTCTCAATTTTGGACGGCATTCCCGATGACATTTTCCCAATTCAAGTTTCTTGGTCTCCCGATGGAACCTGTATTACTGGCGTGGGTTTACGTACAAACCCTCGAAAGCTTGGATTAATTTATTGCAATAATCGGCCCGCCGCTGTTTTTACTTTAAATTTTGATAAGCAATATGGTGTGTGTTTTCGTGTGCCGCACGCATTGTAAGCCGTTCACTTTGCAGAGGAATTATCTATGAAATCTAGAGCTGTTAGGAATCCATTATTTACACCTGATGGGAAAACGATAGTTTGGTTTGAGCAGGACGAGATCGCTCATAGCAGTTGCCTGGCATTGGTCAAGAAGTCAGTTTTAGATAAGAGTGTAAGTAGTCTCTAGCTATGAGAAAAATTACGAGATCTTGGAAGTTGTCAGAACTGAAAAACATGCACCTTATGTAGATGAATATGTGTCAGAGCATTAGGAATTTTCTCAAATGTGAAACCATTGCATGTTTAGAGTAGGTTTAGTTTTCAGTAGCTTGCAGTAAAAAATCAAATTTATACCTTATATTATTATTATTATTATTGATCTAGGACCTGGTGCAGCCTATAGTTACCTAATCTCAGGATTGTTGTAACTTCCCTGACTCGTTGCTAGAGTAACTCTCATTGAATTTCATCCAACCTGCTGGTCTTTTATTTTTTACTTGAAAACATTGAAGAACCTCACAACTACTTTGGAGTTCTCTTCCCCTACTTGGTTAGGGGTTACTCCCCTTGTCTCTTCTCACTGACTTATGACTTGGCCCCTTGTATGTTATGCTTAAGTTGTCTGCAGTATCAAAATGTCCTGGAATTCACCATAAAGTAACATGGTGTTTAATTGCTAGCTTCCTCATGTTTCACATGCACTCCCACATTAGTTCACAATCACAAGTCACCAGTGAGGCACATAGACCGACTTATGTGTTTCATTCTGTATATAAGGACTACTGTTGCTTAATTGGTTTCGCATTTCCAGGCGAGCATACAGACAGTTGTACCGATTGTCAACAAGGAAATGAAAATAAATGGAGATCGTTTATTTTACGGATTATACAACGTAATGATCCCAAAACGATGCTGGGCATCTGGAAATCGATTGATTTTATCGACACAACAAAAAAATACAATCAACACGTATTGTATTAATATTGGTAGGAAGTCGGATCAAAGTAACACAATTTTAACATTTTTTTTTAGACTCAGGAGCCATTACCGAATTGCCCTACTCTGATGGCAGTCGAATTGTGTTAGATGTCTTTAATGATACTGTCGTTTTTAATCACCGTAACTTCTTCGTGTCTGATAAGCTGGCAATTGCTACACTTCCCAAGTTGGGTAGTGAATGCACACTTGAAAGTACTGATGTAACGGACGGTTTGCGAATGGACTACATGGAGAATTTTACATATAATTACTTGGATTTGGCACACAACACTGAAGAAGTAGCCAGTATGTTTGTTATTTCATTATGAATGCATTAGTATTTTTTTAAACATCAGATTCCTTTACTGCTATTTACATTGGTCCTAAATCGGGGAAGGATGGAGAGTACCCTCTGATCGCGTGGCCACATGGCGGACCGCATTCGGCATATAGTAATTGCCTATTTTTGGAACTGTCCTTACTAAATTCCCTCGGTATACTTACTTGCATTTTTTTTCCTATTTAATTAATGGCACACTACAGGGTTTGCCGTACTGCTAATAAACTTCAGAGGTTCAATAGGAGCTGGTGAAGATTCCATCAAATTTCTACTGGGGAAAGTCGGAAAGGCAGACGTGCAAGACTGTGTTGAGGCAGTCAAAGCTGTTTTAACTCGTTATCCATGGTTAGATGCAAGTCGTGTGTCGCTAATGGGTGGCTCGCATGGTGGATTTTTAGTAACGCATCTAAGTGGCCAGTATCCCAGTATGTTTAGAGCTGTAGTTGCTCGAAATCCCGTAATAGATATAGCAGCAATGTCCATTACATCCGATATTCCCGATTGGTTAGATGCTACAGAAATAAAAATTCGTTTCCATATTGAAATTCTAGGGCTTACGTCGAGACGGGTCGTTTGTATACTCAAGTAGGCCAACCGAATGTTGAAGATCTATTGGAAATGCGAAAAGCATCTCCAATTCAGCATGCACATAGAGTGACCGCACCTACATTGCTGCAAATTGGCAAAAATGATAAACGTGTCGATCCGTCACAGGGTATTGAGTACTATCATAGATTAAAAGCAAATGGAAATATTGTTAGGTAGGTGATCATTTTTCAAAGGTGGTATTGAAACTTTGTGATGTTAGGCAGGATTCTTTTATAGTGTCTTTTGACGTTTTTTTTTCAGGATGAATTTATATGATGACAATCATCCAATAGCATCGATACACAATGAAGTTGACAATATTATTAACTCCATTTTATGGGTCATGGAACATACCGAGATGAAATACAATTGATCTACGGTCCACATTTATATTTTTCGATACATGACGTTTTATTATAAGCCATATCTACTGATTGATAAAGAATTCTTATAAAACCATTGTTTTATCTATCTATTCCTACAGTACTACTTGGCTTTTAATATGTTTTAGTGTCATATTTGCTAAATGGGAAGAAAATACAGCTTAATCATAATATAATAGTAATAATAATAATGTTTATTGACATCATCCATAGAGAAAATAAAATTAAAAATAACAAACAATGACATACAAAAATAAAATAAACATTTCTACAAAACAAACAAATAATCTGAATGCTAAAATTACGCCTTATTTACACATTGAAATTTAGTGTGTGCATATGTTACAGGGAAAGTGCGAAATCCAGTGATTATATGAAATTACTAGTGATTGTACACATTCACTGAACAAACTCGTGAAAGTAAGAAATCGGGTTCAAAAGAATATCGAATTATCACATTTCCTAGAGAATGTATAAAATCACTAGGTATTCTACACAATCACTATAACGTATCAGTAATTGTAATAGTTAATATAAAATTTATTGTGAAACAAGCATTATACATACAATTCAAAACAACGTATCGATCGAAGTACTAATGGATAAGTAATATACCCACTCTAAGGTAACAATGGATGGGTATAGAGAAGATGATGAAGAAGATGCTATTTGTGACAACAAGGCAATGAACCATGACATTTAGAATTGCACAGTTTTTCTTGTTTTTTTGCAGAAACATCGTTTGGAATTTGACATAAACTACGAAAAACACACACAAACAAAACAGTCTCAATCGCACGTTACAACAGCTTTTAGGTTATGTTTATGTGACGTTGTGCAATATACCAAATGGCATTTTATTTCCACTAGAGACAAACAGTAATTGTATAAAATCACTAGTGAAAGTAGGTTTATTGAATTGGATCCTACTTTGACTAGTCTTTTTAGTAAATGTGTACAATCACCAGGGAGAGTATACAACACCTGATTTCGCACTTTCCCTGTAACATATACAATACAACAAAACAAAACATAATCAACTTTCTTTAATTTGTAAAATAATTTATAAAGTTTAACCATAAATTGTTGCTACTTATTTTCAATAATCTTTATAACACTAACGATTCCTTCCTTCTTTTGTCTCCAGTTTGTCTAAAAGTAATGTGCATAGAAGAAGGGCAGCGAAAAAAGCATGGAAAGGCATGGGGTTATC